TGGCTCGTACGTCAAAAAGGTTTTGGGTTGTGTTATAAATCGCGCTACTCTCTACTATGATTTTTGTCCATAGACTTGGTAGGTAATTTAATAGGTACTATTATTGACTTTGCCCATGGCCAGTAATACGAATATATGTATCAGAGGCTAAACATAATAAACCTTAATATTTTGCATAATAAAAAGAATTCCATTTATTAGTAAGTTGTATATTATATAAATCAGATACATAGGTACCTATTATTATAACCTCTAAATCTAAAACGTTTTATAAGTACACAAAAATGAAAAACCTCTTATACTATAAGAAACTATAAGTTATAGGTACTCCTATTCAATTAAAATAAACCTTGGCGAACTTTATACAGAAAGTTTGCGTCAATGAAGGACCACCAACAATACAAAATGAAACCTAGTTACATTGTCACACATATACCCAGAACGCACCATAGGCGTTAATACAACTACTACGACGAATGCTTAGTTTTATTACTTTATCATGTAAGGGTTTTTAGCAGTAAGAATAGAATGATATAGAGTTTAGTTTAACATCGACCATCGTTTAAATAGGAGACTAATGTAACACTTGCATTTATTAATCATATATTTTTTAATAAATCTATTGAATACCGTCGCGATTTGACTACCTAATGTTTTGTTATTGTTATAAAAAAGGGATCTACTACATATTTCATTTCCTTTGCAATTTATTTACACTGCACTTATGACTTTGTAATGAGGACAAAGAATGAATTTGAATCTATACTCTCTATAAAGAATGTAAAGCTGTTATTCGTAATAATAAAATTGCGCAATACATTCTACCTGAAAACATCATTTTTACTTACATAATATGGAACTCCTCGTAAAAGTAAGACGCCCTCTGTTGTAAATTTTTTTAAAGAGCAAATATAAGAAGCGTCATCTACTGGTGGCAAATATTTTTAATGTAAAGAATATTTGACTATTAATGGCATTCTGATTTCTGACATGACTTTATGTCATAAATCATAATTAAATTAGTATATTAAGAGTTTATTATAAGTGAATAATATTGCAATGCAAAATATATTTATGGTCTCTACTCTCGCTCCTTCAACAATGTGGAATGTCAGGCGTCAGCTGTCAATTATCATTTGTTAATATGGCAGCTGGCAAATTTTTATCTAAAAATATTTTATTTTTGTTTACAATTTACATTAATTGTCACATATTTATACTAGGTTTACTTAATTTTATATTATTTCTATTTGCTATAGAATGTTGGTAAAACATTCATATTATTATAATACAAGTGATCCTTATGACCTTATTTTTGACTACGTCGATTTTAAAGCAATATATCTATTATTTCAGACCTATGTATGAAAAATAAATAACATTAAGTATATATAATAATTCTTGACTTAAGTAATTCTGGGATATAAATTTCCTATTGTTAACTTTATTATATAAGTTCTCTTATTTTTTTCTTCCATTCTGAGATGAAATTTTCTTAGCCCAGTGTACTATCTTATCTATCCCTTCAGACCATTGCAGATTATGCCGTAGTTTTGTTTAAAGGTAAAGATGTATTAAACATAGAGGTTCAGCTATGCAAATTTCTTGCAATTATTTGTACTAAACTATTTGTTGTAGCATGATGATGTTCATCCCACATCATTGCTACATTAAAACCTAGTATTAATATAAATTGAAATAATACTTCTAAATAATAAATAGCAATAGGAGTCATAATTCAAAAATTAATAAATATAATTATAAAATAGAGAAAAAGCTAATAGGTTTGAAGACAGGCAATAAGTACATTGTCCTCTACAACATTATATAAAAATTTATATCAATCATAAACAGTCTGACGATGCCGCCGCGAGATGTGACTACTGACTAGTGACTACGGAGTACGGATATACTAAATACCATTATCTCGCCCTTACCGAAAAATCGCTTTACCGATTTTAGCTATGTGACTATTTGATTGTAACGTAACAGAGAGCCCTTATGAAATAGTTACTTACCCTAAAGTAAGATTTGTGACTTGAAAAAATTTACAATGTATTAAAGACGCCTATTCATGAAGTAAAAGTTAGAACCCTGATTTAATAATTATTAATTTTCGTGTAAGACTTCGGGCCCCTAGATATACCTATATTATCTGCCACCTAGAGTCAATATAAAATTATCAAATTATCAATTAGTCAATTTAAACTTATAATTAAATAAATAAGTATATTTTTATGAATAAATGTTTCTCTTTATGTAAATATAGCTCAAAGTTCAGTATACTATAAGCAGCGTTAGAAATAAGCATTGCACCCATGTAAATAAAATACATACGATAATAAAAGCAGTAAGATTTACTACATATGCAATACATTATCAGTTTTGTGTAATCTTTTGAAATTATCTTCAGGAAATCATCGTCACTTATAACACAATGGCTTAGTCCTACTCAAATTACATACATCAGTCGTCAGCCATTTTGTGACATCATCGTAAACATTACTTGGAAACTGAAATTATTGTGTCATTTAAAGGTAGTTCCCGCTTACAGTATCCTAATAAATTATTTATTTTAATAATTAAAGCTTTGTTGCTCCAAAAGTTAGGTGGTTAAATTACATTTTAAATGTGGTACCCAGTTATAGAGAACAAAAGGACCCATTCGTAGAATAGCATTATCCTAATAGGACAATGGTTTACTTATCTCTGTAATCATTGGCCATATTGAATTTGGTATGTCCGGGTATTGCTTGATTTATTTAAAAAAATGCTAACCCAATCGCTCATCGATATTTTTATCAAAATTGATATCAGTCAAGTGTTTGAAATTATCCACATTGCATACGATAAACCATTTCGTAAATCGTCCTGTATCAATTGATCGAGTGTATAGGAAATTCAACCGAGTTTATTTGTAATTTAGGTAGATTTTGGAGGAGAGTGCAGCATTTATTCGGGCATGCGTGGTGGCGTGGCTTCTAAAACGGATTGTAGAAGGTCACCTTGAATTAAATCGCCGGCCGGCTCGCAGCTGGTGTCTCTATAACATCTCCAGACGCCCCCACTACGTGACCTTCCGCACGGCACTTTCTACCTGGAAGTACGCACGTAGGTAGGTACGCTACGTTTTTATAATTGCACCTACTTCCGCAACCAAGCGTTACATACGCTTAGAAGCAAATACAAATTGTGAAAATTGTTAGTTTCGATTGAACTTTTAAGCGCAACAGTGGTTTTTGTTTGTGTTAGGTTTTAGTGCGGCGGCAGAATAACAGGTAAAGTTCAGTTTTGTAAATAGTAATCATTATGAAACTGTATGATGAATTTTTACCGTTGATTACTCATATGTTGCAATAGTGAGGCAAAATTTTGTTGTATTCAGGCTTTTAAAATTCAATAATTATATCCTTCAATCTAGTAAAATTTGCTTTATTATATTTCTATTTATCAAAACATCGAACGTTTCTTTTTTATAAATCCATTTAGAAATAGATAGAGATGTTTAATTTTCTAATCTATTTGTGGAACTAAAAACAAATATGTGTATTTACATTACAAAGTTCAATTAGAAAAAAAATTACGTCATTGACCTGATCTTGATAATGACCTTGAGGACACACCAACCATTTTTTTCTAGTAGTTCTATCATTTATTTAAAAACTACTATACAACAGTGATTTTGGTTCTAATTTGTATTAACCTTCAAATCGCTCGTAATAAGAGCTTTATAAAATTTGTGATTCTGTTTTGACAAAATTCAATTTATTTTCGATTTTAATTATTTAATAATGTTGTATTCCTTTGGATTAATCTATTCAAGCAATGCAAAGCAGTTTTGTAACCGAATGCGGTTATCCATTCGACGTTGAATTTTTTTCCCAAACATCCTTTTTATCATAAGAAGTGCATAATTTTTCGCGCTCTACTGTGGTTCTCTATATTGCTTTAATTATAAATTAATTTAAGTCGTTCACAAAGTATAAGTATAACAAAAATATTTAATACATAGCATTAAACTAAAATTTTGCCCTGCGTTGCGCAGTTTCGTTACGTGTTGCGTCCTTCAGTTATCCTTGTAATATAAAACTGTAAGTAATTCGAGAATGAGAAAGAGAGAAATACATGTTTAGATGAGTTATTAAATTGGTGTTTTAATTGTTCAAGAACATTTGACATATTAGTGCAAAGGTAATCGTCTAATAAAGCCAATTTATTAATGTTTTGTATTGCTTTAAGTGTTAGCAAAGGCGAGCAGTTTCAGAATTGAAGTTATTAAAAAATCCCCTTGAAGCTAAATTGTCGTATAATTAAAATTTTATACTCTAGATTATTGATATAGTTTAGTAGTGCTTTGGTTTATTTATACAATTTTATTACTAGTAAGGAAAATGTTCACTAAATTGCTTCAGCGGTTTAAATATTGCAAGGACGCGGCGACCTTGCTCTTAGCTAGATATTCAGCACACGGTTGAGGGGCAACTTAATACATATTATGAAAAATGAGAAAATTTATCAGGTACAGTCAACATCATATGGCGTAAAATTAATAGAGCTAATAAAACTTTACCAGTTCTTGACTTCAGTATCTAATGAAACTTACGAGCAAATTTTTTATGTATAAAAATAAAAATTGAACATAATATCCCCTTGGCTCCATGATATGAGTCAATTTATAAATTCCGATTTTTGCAATACCGGTTTTAATAATAACTATTTTGTATATTAACCCATTCTTCAAATGTGAAAAAATGTATAATCTGTTCTCTAAAGTCATTTAGTAACAAACGTGAGACTCAGCATGTCCGTTTAGTTCTATAATATAAGCACGCGAATACACTGAATCACTTCCCCCACCGCCGAAACCTGAACCAAAACAACTGCACCTATAATTTGCCGGGTTCAATTCGATCGTCACACATTTGTATCAAACTCTCGTTACGTTGTGCTTACCCAGATTTAATTCAGTGCTCTCTACTTTATATAATAATAACTTCATAATGCCTTCGAATCAAGTAAATGGACAAAAATATTATGATCGTAAGTTAATTTTTCCTTCTAAGCTTATTCACAATTAATTTATGCTCCACAATTATCCTTAATTGTAGCGAATTGCTATTTTATCCTCAACCGAGATGTAACTTTGAGTTAAAAATGTTACAACTAACAGTTACTAGTGTCATTAAAATGTTTGTGTATAAGTGTAAGTTTATTTTATAATACAAATTGAATTTTAAATATTGTTTGATTTTAATTGCTGATCTAAATTTAATAAAGTCCATAATTTTTTTGCCGAGTAAAAACCCGAGCTACATTTTTTTTCTATGTAGACTTTATATTTATATTATTGTTTTTTACAGGCTTGCTTGATTTGAGATTAGATTTTTTTGTGATACGGCGTAATAACAATAAGTAGTAAAATTCAAATTCTAGCATTGTATATGAAGATTTAAACTGCGGAATTGAAATTTTCTTATATTATTTTATTTGTTAAGTATTTTATGACATTAATTAGGTTTTTTTTAGAAAAGTGTTAAATAAACCATTTAGTGATTGATAAGGCAACACTATTATGGGAATTGTGAGAATATGTCTACATTTTATATATTTTTACATACATCACATTATAACCTAACTTATATAATTTAAGACACGTACATTGTACATGTTATATATTTTTAATTTTATTGCACAATATAAAAACTATTTACAAAATATAAAACCAAAATAAAAAATCATTACATAGTGCGCGCTTATGGCTAATATTCCAAGCAGCCCTAAGTACTCTAGAAACTAAATACATAACTTAAAAATATTAATTATACTGAATAATCCCAATATATTGTGATGGATATGTCATCAGATAAAGAGTATAAATGTAAATGCTAAATTATTTATTCATCTTATCAAAAATAAAACTTTAAAGAAAAATCTATCACGACCTGTCAAAATATAAAATTTTGCAAATAAATATACATTTGAAATTTATAATATAATGAAATAGGATAAACTTGAGATATATAAGTCTAAAGATGTATGTATGTCCGTGGCTAATTCCAAAAGTGTTAGTAGGTTGTGGTGTTACATAAAAATGGGAGTTTATTTCCGTTTTAAAATAAATGTGTGCAGATTATCTGTCATGACTCATGACTAGGCAAAATGTCTGTTTTCATGCTCGTACCTGCTCAAATCCCAAGCAAGCCATATCGCCATATCCATATTTGGTACGACAGCGTTGGTTTTCACTACCCCTACAAAGCCACCCTAGACTTGCCATATAAAAAGAGACAAGGGACGATGTCCCTAGAAGTTCAAATATTCGGCTAACTTATCTTAATTACTTCTACTTCTAGCAGTATTCTATTTCAATGTGTTAACTGTGTGTCTATCAATACATTTTTTAGCCAAAATGTCGACAATACTAAAGCTGTTTCAACCGCTCCAGCCTAAGCATGAAGACACTGGCTGTAAGATAACTGTCGTTGGAGCTGGCCAAGTCGGTATGGCTGCGGTCTTCTCGATGCTTACCCAGGTATAACTTTCAATATTAATCTATATCTAAATTCATGTCTCATATATTACATCAGCTTTAAAAGTTAACTGTTACTAATAACTTTAGAAATTTGTATAACTTTTTGTTTTAACATATTTACTAGTGAGCGATTGATCAGAAGTAGAAAGTAAATGCTTATTGATGTCATGCTTGAACTGAGTTTTTAATGAACAACATCTTGAAATTAGTCACTGATTGTTTCGTTATAATCATGTGAGTCTTCTCCACTACTCTTGGATTCTTAATTTGTTATAAACTGAACTATAAAATATGTGATCTTCAGTATGTTCTACCGCTCCAGGCATATTATGTTTGTTGTAGGCATCCAAAAGTCAGTTAAGACTACATATCTACAAAATGTATTTTAGTTTTGTACGATTATTTTATTTCGAAGAGGTAAAAGTATTGTCATCACTCTGGTGGTACAGAGTATAAAAATAACTTCGAGAAATTGCATTTCAGCGTGCCTGACATTCCAAAGATTGGCATTTGAGTTGGTAAATTAAATCGAAAAAGATCGCAACTATATCGTTTTATAGTTTTGCTATTACGTTGACTATTAAATTAGTTTTACTATTAGATAAGACTCAATAATTTTATAAGTTTATTTCAAGGTCATATAGAAAGTTATAGCTGTGTGTATAATAGATTTCGTATTGAGTATAAATCAGGTTTTATTTAATACATGATATAAACTTTGTTCATTCGTTAGTAGAGTAAATAAATATCAAGGCGTTAATTTAGTTTTATTGTATATGAAACTTAGGGATGCGATATAACTACGGAATTTTGTTTAAATCGTAACTCTTTTTACAGGACACAGTGTAGTTCTCATTAAGGTTTTCTCAATAAAAAATATCATTCTCAAAAGTATCTTACAAACGGAATCAGACGCATTTTCCGCTTGATCGGTTATCTTTTTGATAAACACAAATTGCTTGAAAATAAAAATTAAATTAAATAATCAATATTAATTATCATATCCTAAGTTCTCTATAACATTCTTTTTAACCCTAAAACTCCTAGTTCCTTATAGCAAAATTTTATGTTCCTCTCTGGTGGTAGTTTTGATTTGCGTTCCCGTGTCAATATAATTCTTGAAACCCCTACTTATAAAACTGAATTCTCTCACTCCTCCTTTACTGTGCAAAGTATCCTGCTATAGAATTCCCTACCAATTGATATTAGACGAGCTCAGTCTTTAAATTTATCCTCGTAAATAAGCTACTTATATATATTAATTGTGACCCATTAACCATTGGATTAGCTTTTACATGATTTTTTAAATTATAATTTTTTTTCGATTTTTTTCTTTCTTTAGTTTTGTTTTTGTTGTAGAGTTGCGCCATTCTTTAAATATAATTATAAACATTTTCGGAGTATGGCTTAAAAACTTATCTTTTTTGTCAGGGAGTTTCAAACAACATTGCTATAGTAGATGTGATGGCGGAAAAGCTTCGAGGAGAAATGATGGATCTTCAACATGGATCGGCTTTTATGAATAATGCCAAGATTAATGCTAGCACCGGTAAGTTTCGTTTCTCTTCATTATATCAAGAAACCATCATGAGAGGTGTGGTGAATATTTAAAATTTATAATTAAAAAATTGTTTGTAATTTTAAGTGAGAAATTGACATTATACGCACTATTGCAAAAATAAGCAAATCAAGGCATTTGGAACAACAGCCTTTAATTTTAATTGTTTAAAATAACTTTGTTTTATCTTTTAAGCGTAATTTTAGCTTTTTTTATTATAAAACATTCACATTTCGCGTGGTTCACAGTTTACACGTAGTAATATTTGAAAGATTGTTTTAAAAAATGCGTTAATTTTAGTTTATAGTATTGGAGGCTGGGCCACATTTAAAAGTTATTTCTTATTTTCTTAAGTGTGGCGAAGGTAAGATTTAAATAAATAATAGGCAACGTTAATTCTCGATAGATTATGCAATTACTGCTGGGTCAAAGATTTGTGTGGTGACTGCTGGTGTCCGGCAGCGAGAAGGAGAGACTCGGCTCGATCTGGTGCAAAGAAATACTGACATCTTAAAAGTCATCATCCCAAAAGTAAGAACTCTTTTGTACCAACTAACAAATATTTCGTACCACGAAGAAGTTTGTACGAAATCTATCGCATTTTTAATTTAAGTATTTTCAAAAATGGTTTAGTAAATTATGTTGTTGATATTGATTTAATTATAACCTGGACGGCCGGCGTACAGTGACTAAGACTCTGAAGTCTGAAAGCAGTTACGTCCCCAGTTTCTTAATGTATTTTTTTTACTGTTATTATTTCTTGTAGTCTATGTATTAGTAGTTTTTTGTGGTATAGCGATTTGCTTAGCTGCCGTTTACACCTCACGTACGCCGTATGACTACGATATCTTTTGAGTGTGTGATATTTGCGTTTGTTGTATAGTATTTGATAAATAATAATTTAATTTTAATGCGGATTCATTCTAAAGTTTGCCAATTACCGAAATCACGCGTGCCCCGTGATAAACCTGAGGATGACACTATGTGAAATTGTAATTATTAATTTTTGATAAGGATACCAGATTTTAAATTACATTGTTTGTTTAATAAATGATATTAAAGTTTCAAATGTCAATGTTAACTTTTTGATTATGTTATCTTTTATTACTTAAAGCATATCTAAGATATTATATAATGAATGATTAAGTGTTGCGTCGCAATCAGTCATAATATATGTTCTGACTTCCTGACACATCTACCAACATTGTCATATATACAGTCATACATATACCTACATACACAGGTTTAAGGTCCTCAGATAGTATATAGTCCTATAATCCACTAAACATCATTAGTTTTTTTTATAGATTAGGGGGTGAACGGACAGGAGACGTCTTATCTTATGTTAAGCGATACCACCGGCCATGGACATAGGTACTCAATGCCAGAGGGCTCGCGAGTGCGTGGCCGGCCTTTTAAGTATTGATACGCTCTAAAACTTAAGTAGCTGATACCACATTAGTGTTGTTTTCCTTAAATCGTGTATATAGAAATCTATTGTTAATATTCAATTCAAGCTCCTTGCTCCAACTCTGAAGATCTCTCAGAGTTTCTGCTCAATATGATTCTAATTTATTTAAAACTCCTTTTAGGGAAACGCCTTCAATAAAAGCTTAAGTTTATGTAGCAGATGTTAAGTGGGTACGGCTGATAGCGATTAATAGCCCAACACACTTTAGCTATTAAACTTTAGATTACCGCTAGGTATTGGGAATGCTTGAGGTCGCGAAATCTACCCTTGAACTACTACTAATTATTTGTACATGCTTTTTTAATGATGTCGTTAATAAAATATTTTTGTACAGCTCCTAGAACATAGCCCTGACACAATCTTCCTGATTGCCAGTAATCCGGTAGATATTTTGACTTACGTCACGTGGAAAATCAGCGGGCTCCCAAAGCATAGAGTTATTGGTTCAGGAACGAACCTCGATTCTGCAAGATTTAGATATCTTCTCTCTGAAAGACTCAGTATTGCAACAACCTCCTGCCACGGTTATATTATTGGAGAGCACGGGGATAGTAGTGGTATGTTCTATTTAAATATTTGTTTTACAAGTTATCTAACTAAGAACTTTCTCTGATAGTTAATTTAAAGCTTTTGTATACGCCCTTTGTATTGACACCAGATTGGAGGTAAACTTTGGGCTTTTATTGGGAATAGCGATTCATATTTTGTTTTTGAGGCCAGAATCAAGAGTTTTATGAGAGCATAAAACCCTTGATTCTGGCTTAGAGAAACTAAAAAAAATACAATATATATGTATTGATTTACGTATAAGCATGGCATAAGACATGAATGTAAGGATTTACAAATTAAACAATATTGACCCAATTTTAATTAAGGGTGCAACAAGTTAATTACTTCAAAAATTTGTGAGTACAAGCGTACGGACTTTTATTTCTTATTTGATAATAATAATTACGCTGGGGTCAATGTAATCAAAAAATTATCTCAATAGCTTTAATTATGTCTGAATTATATCGTAAACCGATAAAAATAACTGGTTATGATACTGTACGAATTGGTTAAAGATATTAAATAATAAGATGGACTTGCTAGAGATGAGACTGTAAAGGCCCATTTAGACCGAGAGAGTTTCTCGATTTGGTGCGATGATCGCCATAGCATTATCATATCAAAATGTTTACATACAGGCAAGAACTAAATTCTCATCTACGATTATTTCATACGAGAATCGCCAGTGATTTATCGCTAGGCGATAATTTCCTGCGTCTTTACACATCGACATTTTAGTAAGAAGATTCTTACTTATGAGAATTTCGACTAGTATAAACACGATCTCGTATGACATGTTTTTATGTTCATACGAGTATCGTAATTCGTACATATCGGTTTGAATCGTTTTGAGTGCGAGATGTTTCATTCGAGTTTAGTGATTATTAGAGTATTGTATGTAGTATTGGATTTTTGTCTCAAAAATCCTTTTAATTTTGGGGTTGCCGATAATATTATGTGAATTGAACTTTTTAAAAGTTACGAGTGTTTGTGAAACACGGAAAAAATCAATTATAAGCACCCATTTTTTTACCCAAAATCTTTCTTTCCGTTTAATTAATTCTTGTATTCACCCTCACGCACTACACTCATGGTAGCAACTGCCACAAAACCTCGAAATACGATTGTAGCTTTTGGAACTCTGTTTACACGGTCACAATAAATTTTCCATTGCGAGGCAATTGTCGCCAAAGCGGAAGAGCAATTGGTGTGAATGTTTAGACGAAGAGACGTTTTTTTACATTATTTCGATAATCGTTAACTTCAGACCAGTATCACCGCTACCGGTAACTACCTTTTACTTCTTGAAACTGTAGAAGATTAGCAGCCGCTAATATCTCACTGCTGCTAAATTATTTACTCTTCACTGGCTTCATAACAAGCATAGAGACTAAAGTATATATTGAAATAGCTTAATTTGATAAATTTGGGGAATTCTAATACCGTTAGAATAATAAATCTTTTAAGTAGTTGGTTCGTTTTTTATGGCAAGTCGGCGATCAGATAACTAGAACCAAGACTTTTTACGTGCCCCATTAAAGTTTTGGAAACACTGCTAATACATATTATATACTGACGGCTCATTGGTCTAGTGGTGACTGCGAATGCATGGGTCCCGGGTTCGATCCCCGGCTGAGACAAACATTGATGTGATGAGCATTTGGTGTTGTGCTTAGGTCTTGGGTGTTTAAATATGTATTTATATGTCTATACGTATCTATCTATAATATGTATGTATATCCGTTGCCTAGTACCCATAACACAAGCTTCACCAGCTTAGCATGGGACTAGGTCAATTGGTGTGAATTGTCCAATCATAAAAAAAACTATACTTTACATTTATACCTGTTTATTTTACAGTGCCAGTATGGTCGGGTGTCAACATCGCTGGTGTTAGACTCAGTGATATGAATCCTGAGATTGGAACTGACAAAGACTCTGAAAGCTGGAAGGATCTCCACGATATGGTGGTAAAAAGTGCGTACGAAGTAATCAAATTGAAGGGATACACATCATGGGCCATTGGATTGTCGCTTTCACAGTTGTGTTATGCAATACTAACAAACGCAAATAGCGTGCACGCAGTGACAACATATGTGAAGGTATTATATATTTAATTCTATAATCATGTAGTCATAAGTCTCATTCGTCTCAATTTATGGTTCGGTTTCGATTGGTGAAACAATATATATATTGGTATCGGATAGCCAAACACGCAGGCACAAAAGACTATGTCTAAAATTATGTTTCCTTAATTACAAAAAATCCAGCTTGAGATATTAAGGAAGTTATGTTTTTGTTAGGCTTCGCAGCAGGCGCTGATATCTGTAGGTCCGAACTTTTGGTTGATCGTGATTCATGTGATCTCTCGAACCGCCGCGTCGTAAAACTAGCAACTATATTTAAAAGCGTTGTTTGTTGCAGGGTGAACACGGAATCGAGCAGGAAGTGTTTTTGTCTCTGCCATGCGTTTTGGGCTCTAGTGGCGTATCGGATGTGATACGACAACGGTTGACCGAAAATGAACAGACCCAATTTCGCAAATCGGCTGAAATGATGGCAAAAGTTCAGTCGGGAATAAAGTTTTGATTTGACACCAAAGTTTTGTCTTAAATTATTCAATGTATCGTGTTCGATGTTGTGATGATCATTTTATACACGCAATATGATATGCGATATTTTTTATCCTATTAATGTCTCTTGCATTTTATAAAATATTTTCAATAATATTTCGAGTTTATCTGTATTAAATGTTTAATTTAATTAATACGTATATATTTAAGAAGAAAAAATGTGTTTTTTATTTGAGTTGTTGGGAATTTGAAGTGGATTAATTATTCTAACTGCATTATACCTAACTGCACTGATTTAAGTATTTTCAGAAATGTTCGGGATGTTTCAATTTAAGTTTATTTTAATGTTTAATTAAACCTCAACACAATGAGCTAAAATAGGTTTTGTAGTTTTGATATGCTTTAACACCTCTTTTTGTATTTAAATATTACTTTAATAGGCACATGATTTATTTAATAAATGATTAAATAAATGTTACAAAATGCAATCAATATGTATTATTTTTTAGTAATATATTTTTAATTTACAACTAACATTATTCACCTGTATACATTAGTCACACTATAGTTACAATAGATGGCGTTAATGGTAATAATTTTTTACTAAAATATAACAACCCCACTTTACAAAATATTTCAATAAACCTAAAACATAAATTCTTTAACTTAACAAGGCCCGTCATTTCTAAGGATTTATGATGTTGTTTTTATCTTCTGTAAACAAAACTAGTTTTCATAGCAACTTTGACATAATGATAATTGAACGTACCTTAATATGTTTTGTTCTATTGAGTGATTGGTGACTGCTTGCCAATATCAAGAGTGCATTGATATCACTGTGATGTCACTAAACAAATTTCTTAAATTTATAGCTTACTAGTTGTTTCTCATAATGCTACATACTCAGCTTCTGTACTGAATTTTGTGTTGTGCCCTGCCTTGATATCACAGGAAAAGCAGAAGTCGGTATAAGATTTTCTATCTAGTGTCTCACTAGCCCAATCAGCAACAGCAAAACCTTTTAACTCTACATCATCTTTACTATATTTTTAGGAATAATTTTTGTTTCTCTGTAAATACTTCAATACTCTTTTAGAATAATTGTAATGAGTTTCATTACAACTGTTATTGAATTGACAAATACCTAATTGAATATGAATTATCAGATCGAGACTTGTCAGCTAAGTACGTGTAATTTCCTATAAAATACATCTGTAACACAATATTCTGCCTTTTCAATATTTAACTTTTTATTATATTATATTTTATAGGAGGAGTATTTATGGATCCATAGACATAGACATAACATTTATTACAAACAAAAAACACACACATAAACACACAAAATAACAATACTTAAAGAAAACATAAAATAAAATAGAATAAAATTAAAAATTAAAATTAAGAAATTTTCTTTTGCCATTCGGTTCGCTTCCAGTGTGCAATGTGTGTGTACTGTGGTTGCAATTGGCCCTGGCTCAGCATTATGCTGAGGAGCAAAAAGTTCCACACTTAAAAATTCTGAATCTCAATAAAATTAACTGTTGTTGATCTATTCTAACGGTATTAGCCTTCTTATCTACATTTACTCTCCGACTTAAATAGCGTTTTACCCAACCTTTGACAGATCTGAACAGGGGTAGACCAAATCTAGTCCAATTTAACCCCAAGGAGACACAACTTTGCGCGTTTTCCACTAAAACAACATCTTTTGTTGCCACTACTGTCTTTGAAGACACTCTCCTTAAAGCTTCAGCTAGCATCGGAATACCGGGGAATACTTCTGTACGCTAGATTTCAGTACATTATGTGTTGTTTCAGTTTCCTCTCTTTGCGTAAAAAGTAATCTGTTTCAAAAATATAACATATTTCTAGTACGAACCAGAGCGATAATCGAATTAACGTAGTAATAATAATGCACGTAGAATTATTTGGCACTAAGCATACGGGAGGTGACGCAAAACAATCTTCTTTTGTTGGACTGTTGAGATTCTATTACCCACATTCAAACGGGCCGTGCCGTCGATTTCTCTTACATTCTCAGCGTCACGCTCTTTAACATATATTTGTAAAGAATAAGAATTAAAAAACTCACTTCTAAACAGAGAACGGTAAAAATAAAACACAATATTTTTCGAAAATTATATATTGAGTTTTTATAATACGGTGATTGATAATGATAATTATAGATATACATCAAAGTACATTAGTACTTACAGTTTCTTTAAAAGTATCCTTCAGTGTCATTATTATAAATATTAATTTAAAAATGCTGCTGAAAGATGACAGTGAATTGCGATGACCGTTAAAGCGCAAAATGCCTTGTGTGCGTTATGCTAAAGTACATATGACAAATAAGAAATAATTTCGATAAAGAATGCAATTTTATATTCATCAGATTATACTATGACGAACTATCATTTATAAGGTTCGACATATGAAGATTATAGAAATTAGAGCAAATTGCGATTGAAATACTTTTTAATTCTTAAAATTATAATGAACGAACTAAGTAAACTCAAGTGTAAATTGAGAAATTTCATACATAATACGCCACAATGTTGCGTGGTCAAGATCAGGGAATTTAAAAACATTTTCGATTTAAAATATTTTGACTAGCAAATTAACCGATATAATCATTGTCAGTATGGCCAAAAAGTACACAAAGTGGCTAAGAAAAAAAAGTTTAACTCTGATCTCTACCTCACAATACTTGTCGAAAAGAAATACATTGACGAATTAATTTTAACATCAAAATATGTAAATAAACGAAATAAAAAACAATGTAATATGTGTTTGTGTAAATATAAGACAAAACAAATTCGTTACAATATTTTCACTGAGCCAAAATATGCAATTTGGATCGACGTCTTAATAATTCATAATTTGGTCAAAATATTAAAATAAGACTTAAAGCTATTAAATCTAGGTGCTATATACATTTATAATTAAAAGTACATGATTAAATTAGGTAAAAGCACGTAATACATTATCAAGCAAAAATCACAGACACTTCCCTTATACGCCCAGTCGTCATGAGCTCCACAAAGTTTAATACGTCTGCTTCAAATATTTGTATGGCATGTCTCTTGCGTAACCACTAACCGTACAAATCTTCTACTCAGACGTATAATAGTTATTAAACTTACCGTGGAGTTTTACGCAGTCACTTAGGCCAAAGCGTTTACGTCAATAACAGCCTGTCCTCTTATAAATGGAGAATGGATATACAATTTCCATTTTGTGACTGAGGGCTGATTGGCGTAAATGCGTTAAGACCATCGGAAATTATAAACAAAATCTGAGAAGATTTCTGCGTAACTAAATAGATTTTAAAAAGTCCCAAGTGGTATTCAAAAATATTGTGTATTCAGAGTACCCTTAGTATAATCTTAGAATTTTTAAGTCAAGTATTCGTAAACTAATGTTCGTTCCGCACGAACGAATTTGCATCCGTTAGTTCCAAATACGTCCACAGCGCTCTGCTCAAGTTTGCCATGCTAAAATCTATTGTTAATTTTACATTCAATTATATAAATATATAAGATTAATAATAAAAAAAATACGTATTCATCGTACTAAGGGTGCTGCGATATAGCAATAGATTTGAGTAGCTCTCACATTTGACGTTTAAGTTTGACTTTATTCAGACATCAAGCATCAAGTTCACCGACATATTAACTGATTTTAAATGTTATCTACGCTAAAAGAAAACGGACCGTTGAAGTATCGGTGAAGTTTCATTTCCTATAGAATTTCAATAAAAATAACGACTGATATTTTTGATATAGCATCATAAGAGTAGCCTTCTTATTCATAAAAAATAAATCAGTCTAATTACAACGTTTTAACTAACGTACTCATCTGTCACTTTCAATCACAATTTGATAGAAAGAGACGGAAAAGTACGTTACTGTAATTAGATTGATTTAATTTTTATTCATAAGCCTTTAAGCCAGGAGAAGTAAACACGAAAGTTGAAGCGTGCACGCGTTCACACGCGAATTAAAAGCGAAATTCATTTGGCATAAAAATATCGACTAAAACATTGAAAATAAATCGCAGTGATTTCGTGTCGAAACCGGAAGGTGGGTACAATGACTATATTATACGATAAACCTTTGAACCGTTAAGATCTACTTTACGAGACACGTTGGCCATTATCAAGCAAAGCTAAGCTCGACCGCCCGCCAGACATCTTTAAGCAACACAATCCGTTTCAAAGTACTGGTAACGGTAAAAGCCTAAAGGGATACAATACTTCATTGTAAAATGCACCTTAACCTCAAGGATTACAGCATATTTAGTTGATATATTGTATCTGTCCAGCTAAAAGCTGGATTCAAAATCGGTTTTAGCGTCGGATTAGAAAAATACAATCCAATACCAACTCAAATTCGTATACTTGGTAATTGAGATTGGCCGTGACCAAAATGTATGTGTGTAAATGAGCTATCAAGTGTCGTTGGGTGAGCGCAAAGAGTGAAGTGCGTTACCGTGGCCGGAGGGTCGCCGTCGATCGAGGAACGTCTTGAGTTGTGTTGCTGATAGACATGAGCTTGGTGCCTGTAAATAATATACAAATATAATATAGGGTACTATAAGAGGTCTATGTATTATTATTTATACATATATTATAAAAATGTTAATACATTTTTAAAGTTTTTTAACGACTTATTTTTTATCTATGACAAGGACGGCGCTTCAACTTATTAACTATAATGATTTATGTTGGTTACCGTATGGTTATTTTATATTTAATGTTTTTTAAGAAGACTTCTTAGGTTGTTGTCTTGTGGGAATGTCAAAGTCTGATAATAACAAAAATCCAACCAATTTGTCTATACAAATTACCATTGAAGACTGCTCAGCTTTTTTACATATAAATTATTATTTTTGTAGTATTTGAACACGAATTTGGGGGACGATTCTATGCTATGCAACGAACGAAGGTGTCCCGGATAAAAAAAATAGGTATGGGACCAATATGATTTTAATTACTGATATATTAAATAAACGTACATCATCAAACCAGGGGTCCGTAAGGGCGTCCTTAGGTGTAAGTCGACGACTTGGTGTCGAGTCTAGAAGAGATCTAATAAGTGTTTGTGCGCGTTCCTCTATCCCCGACCAATGTTCCGGCGGAAAACAATAATCGCATTTAATTATATTTGCTGTTGTCTCCTCTATAGACTCGTCCAGGAATGGTGATAGCTGAAAAAAAAGAAAATATCTTTGGATAAAAAAATATCTTAGGTTCAAAACCACTCTGGCTTTTTTTTGTAAATAAATTATCTGAAGGGTCAAGGGCTATATTTAGAATTAGAGCGAACTATGACTCCCGTATATATGTAATTATTATAAATAAAAAGTTACATACCCCAGTTAGGAACACATATAAAAAGACCCCAGCCGCCCAAGCGTCCCATGCGGGGGCGGGCGGACGGCCAAGGACGCACTCGGGGGGCGCAAACTCAAGTTGGGCGGGCGCAGGCGGTAATACAGTGCCACGACACCCTTCTGTTTCCGTGTTTATTTCTATAGCCGATCCGAAGTCCACCAATTTGAGCTGAGGTTGACTACCGCTGAGTTCCACAAGGATGTTCTCAGGCTGAGGAAAAAAGAACCAAATATATAAGTGTTTAACCACTAATATGTTTATATTTAAAAAAAAATATATATTCTTACTTAATTGACTATACATAAGAGTACAGTATGTGTAAATTAGGCCAGATGAATATTTTTCCTACTATTGAAGAAGGATAGCAAAGTAGCCGTTCAAAAAGTAAAGTGTGTATCGTGAGCAATTTGATCTATGAAAAACAGTCTTGAAACTATAGAAGATGGTATACTAAATTTTTGTATAATTTGCCTAATTGTAAATAATAAAGTTACTATAAAGGTTGAGAGGGAGTTAAAAATAAAGCACTTACCCGGACATCAAGATGTGCAACATTATTGGAATGAAGCCAATCGAGGGCAGAGAGCAATTGTCTAGTGTGCATTGCGACTGCGCGTTGTGTATACGCGAGCGGGTTAGCAGCAGCGTAGTCAAGTAACGGGCCGCCAGCTACTAGCTCCAGTACTAGAGTGTGTGCACCGGCTCTTGGTACTTCCGCGAACAGAGCCAGTGCCCGCACGACTGCATTGTGAGCTCCACCCGATAGAATACGGTATTCTCGCATCGCATCTGCACCCCTGCCTGCTACAACCTAAAAAGTATGCAAAGGATTGTAGATAGCTTACACGGTTCTTTGATCACGTCATAAATGGGTGTTGTTAATCAATTGTATTCTTTCTAAGAGTTCTAAAAATAATTTTCAACAATTTTATCCGTATGTTGAAACACCAGCATTATACATTCCATTATTTTAATAATAATGATGTCTATACAAGACTTAAACTAAAAAAAATAAGACGCCTTTTACGTGATAATTTATTTCACTATTAATTATTGCCTGAGAGAGGCACAGTCACAGAAAGCTAACGCTGTCGATTTTTTCCTCACAATGTTTTCCTTCATCTTATGAGCTAATGCTAAATGTGCACTTACACAGAAAATTCCTTCATGAAAACTGATGCACTGAAACATTCGAACGCACTATCTCAGGGTTAAGAGGCGCACGTTCAAGCCATTAGCTCAACTCTGCTCTTAAACTGATAGCTTTTAAAGTATTTCTTACACTAACGAGAACTTAAAGTATTGACAGCACTTTTCAACTACTATAATAATTTTTAAATATAGTATTAGACTTAAACATAAAAATGTACCTGTTTTAAAGCAACTCGCTGTCCAGTCCCAGTATCCCGGGCAGCCAACACGCGAGCTGTACGACCTCGGCCAATCTCTTCTTCAATAGAGTATCTTCTTGAAAATTGTTCTCTTTGCCAACCTCCACCGCCTCCACACGTTGCTGGGTCAGACGCCGCGCCTGCTGCACTACTACGAGCGCAGATAAGGCGAAAGCTATATTGGCCCGCGGGAAGTTCTTCTAAAGCCAAAGTATTTGCAGCAGCAGGTGTTTCTGTCGCTCGTCGCCACTCGCCTTCGCCGAAACGACAATATTCGAGATGGGCGGCTTCAGGTTCATCCCAATGCACTACAAGTCCACCCCCGGGGTGTGCTCGCACAGCAGGAATACCGGGTGTGCCACCGGAGCCAACAGTCAACCGTGCAGATGTCTGCACACCACCCAGCTCGTTACCCACAAGGCAGCAGTAAACACCAGCATCAGACGCGCGGCAAGCGTGTATGACTAAAGACGCCAGTCCGTCCGCTGCAAGGCTAATAGCGAAACGACCGCCGTGTCGTAACGCACGTGTTTCAGGTGCAGTTTTACGCCATGAAGCTGTGGCACGTGTGGCGTTAGCCCGGCAAGAAAGAACTGCAGAGGCCCCTGGCGCGACCGTCACGTCTGTAGCTGGCTCGATCAGCTCAGGCGGTCGTAACTCAGTGACCAGCCCGTCACTCGGTTCGCCTGCGCCACTTCCGCCTCGACGAAGCTTCAGGCCCCAAGCTCGCTTTGACAGACCCTGCCATACATATATTCATAATAATCGGGCACAGAAAATAACATTCAAGCCATTCATGCACGCTTACCCTATTGCAGTCGAACCCACTGTCCATTAAACTAATTATAGTCAGTAAAAATAACTTTAAATAACTTGGCGCTATTTAATAACACTTAACACATTGCAGTCTTGTTTCTTATCGATCGTATCACAGTCTATGTTAAAAATGCATTCCCGTGTATATCATACCTACAACAAAAGAAATAAATAAAAGCGTTAAGAACATGCAAAGGAGAAGAAACCACAGAATGCATAAATAGAAATATATTATAGCATATTGTAATAAATGCATAGAAAAGATTCCTTCAAGATCAAGCTCATAATGAATATATTATTACATAGTAAGCAAACTCCGAACTTTCAATTTCAGCTATATTAATGGAGGCAATGTCTTCGTACCACACTTGCAGTACACTATGCAATTCCAATAATAATTAAATACATATGTTTAATATATCAAGCCTTAATTTAACCCATAAAGTGCAGGAAAAGCTTTAAATACGCCAAGAAGTTTTTATTTTGGACATTAGTTTAATTTTTGCTCCTGAATTTTCGTATATTCTGTGTCTTCCCAACTGAACAAATATTATTAAGTGCATTTAACAGATCAACTGAGCTACGGAGACGGCATAGATGGTTTAATAATCGTATGTTCGACTTAATAACTGTACTTACATTGGCGTGAGGCGGTGAAGTTGGGCTCACGGCAGAACTGGCTTTCTTGTGATCGTCTCTTGCGCTCGTTGGAAGATTAATAGTGTTCGCTTTAGCGTGCGGACGTTGCGTCCTTGGAATTAATTCTTGTCTGTCACCCAAAGATGGCGACACGCTCTCAGCCTTTCGAAGCGCCCACCAACAATCACTAGGAGGGGAAAAGGACGGGTTAAAAAAATAAAACAAAATAAAATAAAATTGGGCACACCAGCTCTTAAATTATACATTGTTCACCATAAAGGCCTGCCACATATTTTTAATAATCATTCGACTTTGGTCTTGTCAACAATTGCTAACTCTGCCTAAATAATGTTAAACAAAAAAAAACTTATAACAAATTAGCTAGTATAATAGCTCAGCATCGATAAATGTTGTAAGCTAGAAGCTGGCCCCCTAGAAAAATAAATAAAAGAACCAAATACATAATAAGCATGCAGGACTAGAAGCATTAAACCACAAGCATTTCTTTATTCACATTTATTGGTTACTCATTGTAAAATATACATGGTTACCATTACAGTGATTTAGCACTAGATATATACAGCCCAAAACAATACAGAGTATATATATACATATATATATATACAGTCTACAGTTCAAAATTATAAATAGACAGTGTTACAAGTATAATTCGAACAAATACATAGTATCTACGTGGTTAGTTGGATCGTGCAGTTACTTTAATAAGAAAATACGCTAAATATTGTTTGAAATATACTAGTGTTAAAATCAGTAATGGATCTGTATGTCTCTAAATGCTCTCACGTTACAAAAGTTACAATGATTTTAAGTGCGGTTCGTAAAATACAAGCGACGACAACCGACACTTAAATAACTACGGCGTAACAAATTACTTAACATCACTGATCAATTTTTCACTTTTATAAAAACCTTCACCAGGTGGAAGACAATGTACCTAGCTAACTCTTAATAAAATCAATACATAATTGGGTAGCATCTAGTGGTCGCCTACATACCTTAGAATCTAAGCTGTATTTCAGCAGTACTGTCTGCTATTACATGGTCTTATTCAACCAATTAGTGCTTAAACATTTACCATAAAATGACGTCGATATACGAAATATTGTTTGCACTAGATTCTATTGGTTCTAGATATCGCAGAAAATTTTATGATGTTGTTAGTAGCGTGTTTAAGCATTAATAATACTGAACTCCTATTTCCTGAGAGCATGGGATACTTGCAATGAAAATATTAATTTCATATATAAATCTTAACAGAAATATAAATAAATCACACGAATAAGATACATTCTTTAATTTAAATCAATAAAAGTCATAATTCCTCCCGATTGTATAAGTTTGTATGGAAAAACTTGATTGATTACAATAATGGGCAATACTAAAAGTAATATGTAAAATAACATCAAATTTCCCAGTCATAAATAGCTAGATTCTAAAGCATTGCAACTTACACTAGTTTACACGTATCCTAAAGAAAAATATAGTTGTATAAAGTATATTTTGCTGTCTACATGCAACTATGTCCCGTTAAAATGAGCAAATGTGTACTTTACAAGCGTAAACAGTGTATATCAGAAATAACTTACACACTACGTAACCCGATATGTATTTTTTTACAAAGATTATAATAGAAGATGACGACAATTCTATAGTATTTAGGAAATTTCATCTTGAAAGTACTATTTTAACAACAAGTCCAACTATTCCTTCAAATACTAGATATAAGATTTTGTTTTCAATAAATGCTGTATTAAGTATATATGTAAACTACATTGAAGTCGAATAGCTGCCATAAAATAAACACGTGAATAATCGATACGAAAAGGACCTTTAATATTGCTTTAATGTGTTAAACAACTACGTGGCTGTCCATGCAAATTTTATTCATAATGCAACCCAAACGCAACGTACTACTGTATGTATACGCGTATACTATGACAATCTTAATTTCGATACTGTTCCATGTAAATATTAAGGCTTTTTCTACAATAAATGCTCATCAATTGCTATCTATATTAAAAGCACAAAGCACACTCAATATATAAAACTTATACAATAAGACACCGGCATAGAACGGTATAATGTTAGTTGGACCAGAATATCATAATAAGCAATATTGATGACGTTAAAATGTTTACTAGCGAATAGCTAAATATGGTAGTGATTTCTGTGAATGATATTATTGATAATCACTAATCGCTAATTCAATTCCAAATTCCTAGCCTACGCGTCTAATAAACACGATATAATGACGAACAAAATGTGACATAACACTATGGCAGTATTTTATTGCGACTCCGTTCAAGATTCGTTGGGAAGGCATGTGGGCCCAGACTCCTTACATTTTCAGGCTATAAAAGATGGTGTAAAATATATTATTATGCAAAATATAAAGAAACACGTACATTTGATAATTATATTAATTAATTATATAATTAATTTTGTTGATTATATAGATTATAGCATATACCACAACGCAAGTATTTAAGCCAAGCACTGAATCTTTAAAATTATTATAAATTCTTTGTTTTTAATAATCGTGTAACGACATTGGTGCCAGCATAATACAACAGTTATAGGCCGCTTCTTAATAATTACTTAATACGGTTTATAACTAATACGTTGAATAAATAGCAAGTTAAATTATGTTTCGATAATAAACATTTAAAGAGTTAGCAATCTTACAATCTTAGTATGTGCCACCACCAATTAGTTTGAGTTAAATAAGGCTTTAATTTCTGAGAAAACCCGATATTCTTGAAGAAAGCTGTAAAAACTTACGCGGAAGGTTCACGTGGCGGTTCATCGTTCATGAACGCGCTAGGGTTTTCAAGTCTCATTCCAAAATTCAGTTGCGACTCAAGAATACTGGAAAGTGTCTTAATCCAGTGTTGAAGGCGCCCGTCAGGAGCACGGCAGTAGAAAGAGCGGGGCTTGTTCGAATTAGATTTCACAATGAACAAATTGGCGCCATCTTCGTGCTCCAAACGCATTTTGTTCACCTGAAATATTTATTATAACATGGTTCACTTACTCTATAGTAGGAGGATATAAATTAAAAAGATATGATTTGGATTTAGTGAAACATAAACCGGACCTATTTTATAATGTAGTGGCGTTTTAAAGGCATCACAAACAAAAATGCACATTTATAAACATCCATTGAATTTTAGAAAATTAAGAATTTTGTCAGACTAATTTATTTATTAATAATATTATAGCTAAAGGGGAAAAAAATTATAAAGCTTTATTTCGATACGTGAGAATGTAAAACCAAAGGCGCAAGACGTAACGTCGCGATCGATTGTGATTCGTCGAATATGTCGCGTATCAACCCGCTTTTTTATAGGACAGGGTACAATCCCACCTGATGTTAAGTGAGATGCGGCCTATTGGAGGCCACGCCTGTCCAGATGCCTATTTAGAAGCTTGAATGAACCCATGTTAAACTGCCTAAATTGAAACAGGCAAAGAATTCCATTCCTTTGCTATTTTTAAGTATGCTCCGGAGTTCAAGCAATATAAGACTGAAAGGCAGGCAACGGAACGGCGATGGTCAAGACTTAGAGTTGACATTCAACAAGTGAATCGACATCTATGATTCGGTTAGTGCACCTCTCAATCCAAGGCTCCCACCCATATGACATTTGGCAGGAGCGACCCAGAGATGACTGTGGTACTCCACACACGAACGGACTTAGCTTGATAAAGAATCTATTCCGGTGTGAAGAACTATCTAACTTTTGCCAGAATACCAAGCAAAAATTGCAGGCTGGAGATGCTGTCCAATTAGAATAGAACGGAATTAACTAAAGTTTTGTTTTTCGTTTTACATTCTCAACTAACCTGAGGAGTCATTTCACAGAGTTTGTGTTATCACTTAGCCAACTTTGACGTCATTCATACAATATTGCTTTAACTTTTTATTTTAATTAGGTAATTTAGAAATATAGGACTAGATAATGTGTAAGATATACATAACCAAAACATCCGAATAAGACAATTAAACACCTCGCTTTATCGATATTTACCAAAACCCGTAATAATGTAACGCAACTTAAAAGCAAGCATGGTCCAAAATTTCATAATTAAATAAAAAACGAAAATTTTTATATTTTTTGTGTCTTTTCATTGATATACAAAAAACCCAAGATGCACAGTCTCGAATAAAAGTAACGCTCGAAAGTGTCCCGAAACACTATTTCTGTCTCTTTCTATAAGTTACAAGCATATATTATTGCAAAATCAACCTTACGCGAATTGTTTAAAGTTGTTATTACAACGCAGTGTACTTAAAGCAATAAAATTTTACGACCGACCGTGGTCGGTAGGACAAGGTATTGAGTGGAGTCGAACATGACTTTTTTATTTACAACTATTTAACATAATTTTAAATTTATCCGACGTATCGCGTGCTTTACAGCGAGCGTGGTCACGGTGACTGAAGACAAAAGGTGTTGGATGTTAAATAGTTGTAAATTTATAATAATACATAACTTTAATCCGGTTAAAAAGTTTTTTCTTTAAATTAAAAAAAATGTTAAATTGGCTACCTCCTGACCTACACTTTATATAGCGTAAATATATTTGTCAAAAACTACACACAAAAAAGTTCAAAAGTACATAAATTTATTAATAAAAAAAAACACAAATAAATAACATCGACTCTACTTATTAGAACAGGGTCATTCTTATAATGCGACTAAAATAAAAAGAAGACTGTAATGCGTTGTTCTAACACTGAACAAGCAGCCATTGAAGTTGGCCGTATAGAAGTTTGTGCGTTGAATGAAGTTTTTAGAAAAAATAAATAAAAATCACACATTGCTTGTTATAATCAGTCATAAAAACAACAAAAACTAATCAATAATGTTTTTTAATTACCGAAAATACGATATCCCATCCTTTTTTAGCCTTCTTGACGTTATATTTTTACAATTTCTCACACAACACTTTGGCATTTTTAACAACTGCTCCCAGACGCGAGCGACGCGAGACTATTTGAAATGAGCGCAACATTCTAAACTGTAGAATGTTGCGCTCATTTTTTGAGGACGTTTTTTAAACGTTGAGTGTGCATCTTGGGTTTTTTGTATATCAATGTGTCTTTTCCAAAATGTAAAGGTAAAATATTTATTATTGATTATAATTATTTCGCCTCAAACAATGATTTCCTACTGGCTTACATAATTTAAGTTTTACCTGCACTTGCGCCTTGTAATGGTAAGTGGGGCTTGTAAACTGTGTCCGCTTGCCGACGGGTTCAGTAAAGATCATGCACTGTTCAAATAGAAACACATGCAACTCTTTTCCTTTATCATTAGTGGCTTCAGAAACTATCAGCCCCTCTTGGAACAATAGTTTGCCCTGCGCCGCTATGTTGCCCTGAAAGAAAAAACGACAAATCTTCACTTAATTAATATTCGTTCACGAAAACTAATTTAACCCTATCGCATAGCAAACTATTCATTATTTTAAACGTTTCTATACGCAAATCAGTAGTCATGGCAGAGCTGAGTTTGAAAAGGTAACAAAATTATTGGAGCTAGGACGCGTCAATTAATGAAATTTCAGCAAATGACGTAAATATTACTACACAAGCACTAAGTATACCGTAATATAGTACAGCTAAACCAAAGAAATCTGATCGATAGATCGTTACAATGCTTGTTAGTATGTTACAATCATACTTTACGAGTTAAATTTTATTTCTTCTTATTTTAGTTGGGTTAATTTACCAATCGTGAGTTTTAATAAAATATTTAAATTCAGTCGCTTTAGATACATTTGCAACAGCAAAACACAATTCTCAAATACAAACACAGATTGCCAAATTGAAATATTAGAATAACGCTCGCATAGCATAAACATAGATCAAATACAATTTCAATAATTAATACCAGAGCCACGCAAAGCCTTTATTTTTTTTTTATAAATTATCATGCAACTTATACATACAATTTGGTACCACTAAAATACGCTTAGAGCAGCTCTGATATAAGGCACACATTCAAAACGTATTTCAAGTCACAATATCAACTGTCAAATCACTAAAACCACTTCTAATTGTCACCAATTGACCAAAGTCAGTTGTGAATGAATTTGGACTGACTGCAGGACAGTCAAAGCAAAACTGATACTTAAGTAATGTTTATTTGAGTATTGCATCGCAAAATACTTTTTTAGTATTTAGCTGCGGTAGCTTCTAGTAAAAGTAAGTTATTTGCGTCATAATTATTTACACAAGAAAAAATAAAAATGTAATAATCGTATTAATGCTGGCCATGGCACATGCTTCGAACCCAAATCAAGAACCAAGATTTACAATCCAATTCTCAAGTCTAGATTATAACTTGAGATACGTTGGAATATGCATCTAAATTATCATAATGCATACCGTAAATCCCTGAAGGCGTCCGACATCCATCATGTCATTGGCGTTCTTCGGAATAATTGAAGTGCATTGCACAGCGTCAAGAAGCGAATCAATAACAATTGCCGGCTCGTTCGCAGTCTCCGAGTATTTGAGGATCTTCTTCACCAGCAAGTGATACTTTTGAATACGTTGGATCGGCTTGATCAGTAGATCACCCAGCTGAAATTAAGAGAAAATAATATTTTTGACATCTGTCCTCAATATCTTTATTCATGCATATCAAGATTCTTCCATTTGGGCACCTTTCAGTGATTTTTTCCAGCACACGGCTGGAGGCTCATCTGATTTTAAGTTATGTTAGTATCCGCTTATGGATACTCCTTTTATGAAGGACTTTATAATATTTGTTTGTAAAAACGCTTACTTTATCTCTTGGTAAACAAGTTATTTTTATATAAGTTGACATTTAAAACTGATAAGACAGTTCAAAACAATATTTCAGGTACTGTCAAACAATAATCCGCGCAGAAATATTCGAAGCACAAGAGCGGAAATAGTGATTAAATAAATCGTACACAAACATAGCTCTATTGTAACAAGTGCAGCGAAGAGTGAACGAGTAATAGCCGTAGCGAACAACATAAAATGTACCTGTAGCTTGTGTCCCAGTTTGTGTCTCAATTCTTGAAAGTAATGTTCGTGTTCAGACACAATGTACTCGGAGACTGGCTTGTTACGGCAATACGCTTCGTATAGGAACATTTTCTTCTCGAGGAACCGTCGGAAAAGCGGCCCCAACAGTTCTGGCGACTCGATACAGGCCTCCAGCTCGCGTACAAATTTACTGCACACATCATTTTAACGTCACACTAAATAAAAAAGGTCACAACATTCGCAATACAGCAATACAAAATTCGCATAGGATATTAACGCGAGCGTGTATCGGGTAACATAAGTGCGTCTTTATATCGCGCTCTTAAAGTTACGTGTCGATAATGGGATGTCATCTCTGGCCATCATTTGTTAACAGGATTCGCTATAAAATACTGAAATTTTGCAAAATATTGGGATAACAAGGTCAGTTACTCACTCGCGGTGCCATTCGTAAATAGCCTCGACGTTACCGAAGATCATACGTAGGCGACGATCGCGAAGGCTTTCCGGGATCGGAGGGTCAGCATTGGGGTCCTGCGTCATAAATTAATAAATATTACGAGTTATCTAATCATAGATACAAAACAAGCCACAACACACTTTTTGAAAGACAATAGGTATTTTAAAATCGATCTTGTAGTTGATTATGTATTTTGTGTATGTTTGTTTTATTTTTAATTTGTTTACTCATACTTTTATAAAAAAATAATTGTGCAATAATTTAAGGAATCTTTTATAAGTATAACTTGTTTTATTTTTTACATATTTTGTCTTGTGATGTATCTGTCAAGTTTCCTTATTTATAAATAAATAAACAAATCAAAAGTGTGTTCGTGAAGTTATTCTAGGGTATTTATATCATTTTTGATCTCCAAAACACTTGAATAAAGTACTAATTGACTCGCTCCACAAAGTCTACTCGAGAGCTTTACTTAGCAATCCTGACGGTATTTGAGACTGGAACTTGCTGAAAGCTTGCAAATAACTGCTCTACTTACATATTTAAGCGCTTTAAATATTCCGCACAGTTCCGCTTTCAAAACTATTTAAACAAAGTTAATTTTATTGCAATTAAGTACCATCATGTGCTTCATATATCCCTCGCAGACAAGGCGTAGGTCGGAAACGTACACTTCTTCAGTCTCATAGAGTTCCCTGAGTACATATTCACGCTTTTTGAGAATGGCATCCCTGCTCTCAGCAACAGGTGTTGAACTATCATCCTCTTCACCATCTCCACTACGCCCTGATGTGCTGGCCGTACCACCATGCTGCTCCTACATTTTTTAATACTTTAACATGTGATACCATATTTCAAGAATAACACGCAAATATGAGGTAAGCAAGAAATAATAGAAACCGAAAGCTGAAGCGAAATGCAATACAACAAAAAGCATAGGTATGGATATAAACTTAAAAAAAATTGAAAATGTTATTAAATCTTACATAATTAATGGATATGTGTAGGATTTGACTCGCGTGCAATTAAGTGGCTGTTACCAAAAACAGCTACATTAACAATTGTACAGGTTTTTTTTTATATATAGTCTCCATTTTGAGCCGTTGATTTTATCAACACAGTTTATTATACCGTGGATTTGGGTTACAATTAAACGGTTAATATATTACTTAAAAAATAAAGAAACCACAAAGACTACAGTTTAGAGGAATATAATAATAATAGTATATCGCCCAACGGCAAGTGATAAATGCTAAAATTAGTTTTATTTTTGGATCGCACTCCAATCAAAAGCCGATGAGTTATTTATAATCCGGCCGATGAAAGCTTAAATATTATCCGTGTTATCGTGTCCAATGTAAAATAGGGCTTTGTGCTGATTTACGCAAAATTGAATCGAGAGAGCGCGGTCATTAAATTACACGCTCAACTACATTTATTTCCACTCGCTGTTCGTGTTATGATCTTTATGAAAAGGCAATACAACGATAATGATATTTAATTGTCAATTAATCGGTCAATGTTATTTTATTATAGTTCAATGACACAACTGAGTGTTTCATTCGTTCACAAATTATCAAACTCCATAGCACAGGTTTAAAATTGGGTCAAGAGCTCGTCCGTCGTAACAGACGATATTCATAAACCAATGACTTCATCTAAATGGTCTTGTAAATGCATATTCAAAAAACAAGAGAAAAAACTAATAAAACGCAACCATGCGCACACTACATGCTCATATTCGAACCATTTTTTCCTTGACAATTTGCTCAATCTCGGCGATATCAGCGTGACCACCGTTAGGTTCCAGTGCATCCATAGCCAACGAGTTCTGAAAATGTCACCAACGTTACACCGTATGAAGCACCTATACCTCGGTTAGTTACAAAGTTAGAAGGACAGCGTGAAAGTTAGGTAATGTATGTAGTAATTTGGCTTAATGAGTGTTAGTCGTTTTAACTCACGCGAGTGTTGGGTACCGATGCAGCTGTCGGCGTTGGGGTCTGTTGAAGAACTGCTGGCGGGTTCTGCTAAATCAAAAAATAAAAATAATAAAATAATAGCGCGATACAGTCCTGAATAGTGCAGAAAATACTCGTTTACTTAAACTTAAATTTCGTCCGGTTTGGCGATTAATCTATCCTAACGGGCCAACTGTGCTTACAGGTTGAAATCTCTCTAAAGTGTAATGTTATTTTAATGCTATCTTAAATTTAAAACTACGTGCCCATTAAACTCGTTTTTAGCGTTGAAAACGTGTGACAGTTGGTTTCAATCAGACTAAAACATAAAAACATTCTTTACATTGATTAAATGAATGAGTCCGATAGTCATTTATTCTAGCACGAAAACAGCTCAGTTTCCAACAAAGTATGAATATGCGTTTCTAGAGTAATTGTCTGATACGCAATGAAGGTCAGGGCTATCAAGTAGGCGTTATTTTAAGATTCGCATCCTGTACTACATACTAAGGAGAGATAAGGTCTTCTTCTGTTTAACTACATCAGATTTTAAAAGAAATACAATGCGCGTGTGTCGAACAAGAAAGTCTTTAAGTGATATTAGTAATTTGCAATATCCTTTGATATGGGTATCTCACCTCGTAGAATACTAAAGACATAGTTTTTTGTCAGTTTACAATGTCAGAAAACATAATTTGAAAATCCAAACATCTTCAAAATATGCAAAAGATTTTTATAATAGTTCGATGATCTAACTGTACCTTAACAACAGGCCAGTCAAAATTTTAATATGAAAGGGGTAGTTCACGTAGAATTATCACTGAACTATGCAGAATGTACACTACTCGTCGAGTAGGTACGCTAGTTGCGTTAATTATATAGTGAGGGATGTGAGCTATTCAATTACATATAAGGGCTAGTGACGTAATAAAGTATACATGTCTCCATTACATCGTGAGTGAAGTTAACGAGATGCCGGTTTCATGTCAGTGAATTGGATATGACAATGGACGAGGGCGCATTAATTGGAGTAAAGAATCATCTATTCACTAAACCGCGAATCAATTTAACAACTGTCAATACCTACAGGAGAGTGAGTCATATCTGGAAAGGATCAAGGGAAAGAAGGAGCAAAACGCGCCCTAGAAAAAGGTAGATAGACGATTTAGAAGCGATAGAAGGAAGTGAATGGAGAAAGAAGACCCATGGATACAGAGGTTTGGTAAAAGCAGGAGAAGGCGTTTTACCCGAGAAGGGGTTCCGTTAATTAGTATTTAAGGATATAGCGACAAGTATTAAGAAAAACATATGTGTAAGCTTGCTTAAATGAACTTATGTTGAATCTGAAATACGTTGAAATGGTCACTTTCTGTCTCTTGATACTTTACTTTTTAGTAATCCTACCAGGTTCCATACCATCCAAGATATAGGTAGGTAAGATTCGTTTCTCAAAACATAGTTTTACAAGTTATCCAACCACTAGATTAAGAACTCAAAATCTTATACATAATAACATAGTTACGGAAAATAATTACACCAATATCTGATGAAACTCAGCTAAACCTAACCTAATAACTCCATTTAATAATAAAACAAACGAGGTATTCAAGATTACCCATAGAACGAAAAATCGGTATGCTGAAATAATAAATTGATGAACATAATAATAGCAATGAAGCGGCCTACGCAACACTCACGATGTCGGACTAACATTTTATACACAATTGTACTGTCTGTGGTCTTTTTCAAGCCAATCGTGTTTATGTTTTAAAAAATTTGTATATCGTGGACCAATATAGCAATTTCATTTGAATCAAGAGGTTGGGGTCTGATACTTTTTAATAGACTAATGAATTTTGATTACTAAATTATGTTTATAAGTAAAAACGTTTCAGGCTAGTGTGGCTCGGAAGATGAGGGGAGAGATTTGAATAAAAAATGGCCTGTTTAGTGCACGTCTAATGAGATTTATGGTGTTGTAATAGAAAATAATTTAACGTGATACGGAAATATAAAAATTATGCTGTATTTGGAGCACATATTTGAAATTGAAGATCGTAGGATCACGATGATGAATTACGAACTGCATTGTTAAAAACATCGAACATTTTGTGAATTTAAACCATACCAACAATTCAATTTCAATTACGTGAACAATACGTTACGATTGATAACCACGTTCGAAATATGCAAAATTTCAAAAAAAATCAGGACGTACGCTTCATAAAGGCGAACAGGCCTGATTGGCAATCAGTGTCGTCCCCTCCAACCGGACGAATTGAACATTGCCCTTGTACTCAGGAAATATACAAGGTGAAAATTGTATCCCATGTGTTGAGGTTGAGGTAGTCTTGCGCATTAGGTAATTAATAAATAAGAAATTGAAAAGGGTTTCAGTATAAATGCACTAAAGAAAATTTTATGAGATAGAAGACAGTGTTTCAGACTTGCTATAAATATATTCAGCAAACGTTAAGAATCATAAGAAGAGGATATAAATAGAAACAATTTTATTTAAATAAATTCTTAGAGGCCAAGCCTTGAGACAGAAAATATTTAAGATAACAATTGAAGTAAGGTTTTATTTTGAAAATAATTAACTAATATCGTACAATAGAGTTTAATGTGTTTAACATCAATGAAAAAAGATGAAAGAATTCTATATTTATAAACACAAAGAAACATTTAAAGAAAAAAAAAGACAATACAAAGAAACATATGCAATCTAAGGTCTTGACCTATAAAAGTGGTATTATTAGTAATAACTTATTGTTATTTGGTTGGTAGTAAATAAAATTTTCTTCTGTCACTCTCATAGATTTGAGCCTGAAACACCTGGAGGGGTATACTAGTAGTTTACTTAAAGAACTTCTTAATGAACTGCATTGGTTAAAACAAATCGATTACTATTTCTTTTTCAATTAAAGTTTCGATTTAATTTGTTAATTAAATTACCCCGTTCATAAGGATTTCTGAGTCTAAAATTGGTATTAAAAACGATTAACTTAATTTTAAAGTGAACAAATTTTTCTGACGCAAGACTTAATCGGTTATGACTTTGATTTCTTGTAAATATAACCACTTGTAATAGCATGTTAATTTCTTTGTAAGAAACGTAGTCAAATTAACTCCAACAAATTTTATTGGGGAAATTAAATAATTTTCGTCACATTTTCTCAAGTTGCAAGAAGACATCTTTAGATCTATAGGATGCATTCTAACCTGTAGCGGCTTCATAGGAGGCGGCAGTTCAACGTCTGGCACGTCATCCTCGGCTTCATCAAGCGCGGAATTCACGCTATTTTCACCAACATCGTCAACGCGACGATTGTCACTAAGCGGCATCTATACAAACAATATTTCTATTTAAAAAACTATCATACCAAGTCATATTTTTGTCTATTTCTAAATTTAGTGCAAGCTAATGTGCTTCCTACCTACCTAATCCATTCTTGAGTAGAAGGAATATAATTATATTCGGGGTATATCTCACTAAGCGAACACAATAAGGATTTCTGCAAATTCGGAAACGAAGGAAACATTCTGTGTAAATTGCGATTACTAATACTTTTACTATCAATTAAAAATTTGTGTATGTGTTAAAACTATATATAATAAATAATGCCCTCATTAAAGTCAAATTTATTGTTATCTAAAACATTGCAGTCACCTTTGTGGAGTAGTAAAAATTAATTAATGTTGAAATAACCATTAAATAAAACTGCACCACTCGACTCATTCAAATTGTTCAAAGTCACGAATTGAGACAGTTGTTATAACAATATAACGAGACTATCTTTATATAGATAAAGGAAATAATTAATATTACATTAACGTCTACAGACTTGCGACTAAGTATAAATAAAAATTTCATTTCAGTAGCGTAAACTAAAAGTTAATTAGAATTTTCTCACTGACTAGTCCAGGTGTTCTATAAATAAGAAATGTAATATTGTCTCTTTACCTTTATTTTCTTTTCAGATGGAACCTTTTTGAGAGCAGGCTTCTCTGCGGGGGACTTAACTCCCGCTAATGCCTTTTCAGCTTTTCCTTGCGACTTGTTTGGCTTCATCCATTTCCTCCTAAATTAATAAATTATATCTATACTAACATAGATAATGGTATTCGTTATCGAAGCGATGGCAAAGTGAATAAATGGAAAATTAATTAGCTGATATTAAAACGGGACTTTGAAATAATGCTAACAGAATTGATTAATACTTTTAATGGCTGCTCAGCAACGCTCTTTGTATGGGTTATATCAAAAGCTTATCGGAAAGACAAGTCACGGGAATCAGCAATTATTAATAATAATTCAACAAAAGCGATTCATCAGCTCCTGTCACATATTTGGAATCCTACCACTGTGTTTAATTAACGGAATATGTTAATTAATATCTTTGAATAATGTCTAAATTTTGATATGAAGCGTCCAGGCATTTCAATTCCGCCCCAATGCTCCGAACGCATTTGTGCGCATTCATTGTTTATACACAATAAACTTCAACACTGCATAACACTCGGAATTATGCTGACTAAATACTCAGCATAATTTATAAAATGGAATGTGTGTTTAATTATTGTAATATGTATGTAACCCGTTTGTAAAGTTCGCAATTTGAACATTCATGTTTACATAGGCTCAGTGAATCGGAAAAATGTTAAATTAGCATATTATCAGATAGAAAGCGACCAATGTATCCGAACTTCAATAACCGCCCGCCGCATTGCGGTCTCAAATGAGAAATACCGCGGCCGTGTTGGGATATTACACAATTACAAAAACTACATTTTTGGTTCTCTATTATTGTCTATTAAGAGGAAAAATTAACGTTACGCATATTATGTTTCTGTTTATTAAACGCATAAGACAAAGGCTCTTATTGTGAGATTCTACCCGTCTTATTTATATCAATTAATTATGTCTCAATGCATTATTATAAATTAACAACTCCTGCATTTTTTTTAAACAGCGAAACAAAATTTACGGAAAAAGTCGAATGGGTACTTTAGTTAGAACAGATTATATTGTTTAATAATAATAACAATGACCCACGCTATTGGAAGCAATGCAAATGATTACATTTGATATGAATACATTAGAATTTCTGTATAGATAAGCATTTAGATTATCATTAACGTGCGAAAACCCATGACAAATCATTCGTAAATTAGTATGATGTTCTCTCATGGACTCAAAAAGAACATTGCGCGCACATAAGAGAATAAAATTTTATATATTTTATTTGACTACTTTAGTTTGATATTGTCTTCATTGTATAAACGCTACCCTTAATGATAAAAAAAACTCTACTCACAAAACGTAGCACAGCGTACTTGTATGTTGTGTGAATCACAACATACATACATATAGCCTTATACAATATTATATTCATACAGAAAGATTATGCAACCCTATGAATTTAATTCACTAAAATTTTCATTCGGTTTATATTTAAATTACTGGTATATAATGAGCTGAATCAATAGCATTGTAAAAATTTTACTCGTATTGAAAACAAAGCGCTGTAATGTATTCATTATTATTGTATTCATATTATTATATGGAATATTTCTTTATTATTGCCATTATAACTTACTTTGAAAATACTAATTGACTCCACATAACTAACGAAAGCCTTCACGATATAGCACATCACTATACTGATTAATGCTTCAAAAGCCACTATGTGCGCACAATGATTTCACAAATAATTTAAACATTTATTGGTGCAAATTTCCTTATCGAGCCAAAGCTGACAACGAACAGTCGAAGTACTCCGAGGGTCGCACTATCAATCGTCAAGATTACGATAATAATTTTGTAATCTATTCGGGCGAGCGTCTACAGAAAGGGCTTACGCGCGCTCGTTGTGCAAGCGGACGGGACTGGCCGCGCGACTCGCGGCACACACTCAATGCCACTACTATCCCTTTAATAACATTGCACATCAATTAAGCCCGTGTCCCTTGTCACCGGGCCAATCGCCGAAATGTCGTTCACTAAAGATACCTATTACCTATATACTATATTAAAAACGGCTGTCACGTTTCTATTAGAGCCAATTATGTATATATCTAGTACATTCGTGTGCCGTTCAAAACATCGGTACAGATAAGATATGCGCGTGATAGACATTAGTTCGCACTTGTTCTTGAGTTATATACTCTGACATAATCAAATAGTACAATTACTTTACCGTCCAATCCAAAAAGAGTTTGCGTTAATACACCCCAACATTTTAATCTCACACAACAGACACTAGACACTGTTACAAAGGGAAGTGAAAAGCGCTAACCAAACCTGGGTATAATTAGTGTATGTCATTAATGCTAACAATTTTAAACAGAAGCAAATTATCAAAAGTTAATTATTATTGGAGAAATTATGAATGATTATTTAATTACTCTAATCCTTCAATTTCAATAAAAGGACTTGATGTGAAACAGTGTCGGCTTATATCAGAATCAATTAACTAAACTGTGCCGAGATCGCAATTAGAATATCTCAACAATAATGGTACACGGTGTGTTAATCAATAATGTATACCGAGAAATCATGGTATACGCATCATATTGTAAGCACATCATATCAGAGAATAAACAGATAATTAATATTAAGTCAGCTATACAGTGACGTGAAACTACGTTTTCCTATGTTCTTGATTGCTTCAATTCATCTATCCTTCAAGTTGGGAAATCTATTCCAATTTGGACAAAACTGAGAACGTGTAGTATTAAATTGTTAAGCAAATATTAACACAACTAAACAAGGTGTTTTTTAACATTTCAAGTTAATTGAGACATATATAAGTCAAGCGTGAAAAAGAACAAAATAAAGAGTACAACATAAATTTGGAGTAGAAAAGCACCTGATTATACGACAGCAACACTCAGATAGACGATTACGATCGTTTTGTCGTCCCTCAAACATAGCGGCAAACCACACGCCTACTTCACACAAAATTACTGAACAAACTATCAACTAAGGAATAAGATAACGTAAGAAAGATAAAAGATGACTAATGAAATGAAACTGTTCAGTCAGATGATGTGGTAGCAAATAAAAACTAAAGGCACCTCTAAATTACCGTGAAAGCATGAAATTTCCATTTCCGTGAATGGTCTAACTTTAGAGAACCGACCTACGGCGTTTCAATTTCGTAGTAACCAATCTGAGTAAAATCGTTCCGCATCAGTTACAAAAATAAACAAACGAATACTCACTGCAATATTCCCCTCCTATTTTTCCCAGGGCTTGCTGCACTCACACTGCCTCCCGGGTCTGAAGTCGAGGCATCTGTAAAAAGAAATTATATTTAAAAATAACACTCACAATACAATCGAATCAAAATGTTTATTTTAGTTTCAAAATATATTTTATCAATTCGTCGAACTTTGAATTTACACGTCTATGAAGCAGACGTGCCGTCAGTTCATAATTGAAAGCTATGATACCAAGTACCGCCTATAATAGAGGCTTTCTACGTTGAATACTGCGGCCGGAAATTCGATTTAGCATGTATTAATTGCATACGATAGATATAAATGGTAGATTAAGTTACATAGGGAAATTCGCTTGAAGTTTAACGTCCATAGAATTGGAAAATAAAATGGATTTTTTTTTACTTCGTGATAGTTTTACCAGCGCAGCATAGACAGCATAGACACCAATAAGTTTGAAGTTTGGTATAGAATGAATGCTATATTATGGATATTAATGCTTTGACTAAACTAACTAATACATTGGTTTTTATAGTTAAAAAAGATTTAGTGACGCTTATATTAAAGTGATACGAGAGTGATAACAAAAGATTCAATAGCTCATTTATAATTTTATAAAATACTTTTCGCCTATATTGAATACGAAAGAGATTTCTCACTAGAGAGCGCTAAAATTAATTAATTTATTTATTTATTAACACTTTGCAAGTACAGAAATATAATACAATTGACATAATTAAATAAAAAGGAGGGCAACTAGCGGCCTTATCGCTTGCGCGCATCTGTTCCAGGCAACCACTGGTTATTTAGTTACGCATTATAAACTTTTGATATACCTAAAGATAGTACATTCTTTCAGAACGAACCTAAATCAAGACTCATTAAAGATGATCTATCTATATATAATCTTGTGAGTATGTGTTCGTGGTAGTCGGAGAAAATAACGGTAAAACAAAAACGTTTCTTACGAACGCTGCCTAAACTGCTGAGAGATTGATAACGGCTACAAAAAATCACTTTTATACTCCAATCACTTATTTACTTTTATATTATATAAAAACAACTCCTCCGCCAGTCTTTTCGCGATAAACCATAACTCTACTGCACAGAAATTATTGCGGTTTGCAGCAATATCGAAAATGATTGTTGAAGAAGTTTTACGAATATAATTTTTCAAGGTAAACGCGGCACGGTGGCCCATGCGAAGGCCCCAAAGTCGGGTAGCTAGTATTTTATAAAAATGCAATGTATACGCAAAATTATATCACTATGTACATAATAAGCAACAGAAATACAGACTTTACAACCAAAATTCCGTATTCAATTGTAATTATAGGATATTTAAAAACGAATTTTATGTACAGTTTACCCCAAGATATAATATAGTTTAACGCTTCAAACTAAAACATCTGCGAATAATATATTTGCTTTGAGTATATGCATATTATGTTAATTCATTGGCCACATTCAAAACTTCAGATAACGATGACATAATAATGCACTCAAAGTTGTTGACCTGTCAATGATATTTACATTGATGGTTGAAATAGCAGACAATATCAGAACAAAATATAACAATGATTTATTACCGTTCGCGGCTAATACTCGTTTCAGATATTCTTATCATATCAAAGGTTAACCCGAAGGGGATAGCGTAGCATATGTCAGATTCAGTATTCTATTTGTAACAAATCGAAATGGAGAAACGTGCGAAACTAGTTGGCTGTCCGCCCAATTGTTATTCTCCTTCATCTACTACCATGTGTACGCAGGTAAAGCATGCGGTTATAATTTAGATAATTTATTCTTACCCAATACATAAAATAATTGAATACAAATTACTAAATTAACTGCAGTTAGACTCAATATTAAGATATCGGAGTTTGATATTCAGCAATGATTTTTATATATAACAAACCGGCAAGAGGCTCATCTGATGGTGTTGTGATCTTGCAATGCCGGCCTTTTAAGAATGGCTACGCTCTTTTTTCGGACCCTCGAATTGGTTCGGAAACTTCAGTAGGTAGCTAGTTGCACACAGTGGCGGAGTGCGGCAAAAACTGCCTTAAGAAACTCAATCCGAATAACTCCTCTGAACATAGTTTAATACTTATGGTAATACAAACTCCTGCGTAGTTCGGTCAGGTTATTCAAAGACATCTATAGCGTAAGAAGATATTCTGGAATTTATTTCGTCCCGTCCTCTCGCCCCTCCACTTGTCAGCAAAGGTAAGCAAAGCTTATAAGCATATGAGTAAATTAATCGCTAAGCCTATTGGCAACTATATATTCAGCAAAAAAAAAAATCACAGGTATGAAATTCTGTTTTGGACCGTTAGTAACACTGTAGATTTCTCTTTTCAGATGACTGAAAATGTTCCCTAGTTAGAGCTTGACCCTTAACATCGTGCACACGGCTGCTCTTTTTATCTCTTAACGGTTGAATGAGCCGTACCAAATCAAACTTCTTATACGGTATTTTTCTGTAGTAGATTTATGTTTACTTCTTGTTGACTGTACCTATTCAAATTTATATTTTTTAAAACTAACGAAGCAATTGTAACCGGAATAAAGTTTAGATTAATTATAAATAAAATATTATATTCTAGTAGTAAATAGAATAAAACATACATAAATTGTTTGGTCATAGTTTATTTTTAAGAACTAATTTAAAATTTACGAATAGTGTAATATAAATAAATAAGATGTAATATTGGCATGTGTTCTCATGTTTTTCTATATTATGCATCAGTAAAATTAGCAGTCTTGAATCATGACTTTTAACAAGAAAAAAATTGCTATTAATAATTATTATCCTTAACATATTGTTTTCTCTACACTATTTTATATGCAAGTAAGTATATTCCTTAATTTTTTTTGGCAATGTAGAGTTTAGCACGAATGGGAGATTCACCACGGACATATCAGAAATAGTGTCTCATAAAATATTACAACACTGCGTTGTGGATTAAAATAATATAAAACTGAAATAAAAATAATGTGGCGCCGGCGCCGAAGCCGTCTCGAATCCGGTCATCGTCAGCCGTCTCTGACCCTGGATTGTTTACATTATTATGAAATGCGAATATCAACCAGTACAACAACAATGACGTAAGCAACAGCTGGTGTATAAATGATCTATGTTAAAATCTATTCGAAATGTTACACACATATTATACTTTATAATAACCACGTAAGGGCGGTACAATGTTTGCTAGCCAGGCGTAAAACGGCTTAAATTTCTACTGCCTTTTGTAATGGTACGAGTTTGTAGTAAGAACGTGGGACAGGTTTTATCGTGATCTCTGTAACATTTGAACGTGAGAATGGTTAGTATTTGCACCGGTGCACATGGTAAACAGTGCCAGCATATATTCCAAACATGCACGATGGAGTCACGTCGCTCCAACGGGTTTCACCGCACCAATGCCATTTATGAATGAAACTCAATTCGTATAGAATGTTATGCGGAGTAGGAAGTCTCGTATAACATATTTAGTAGAAAACAAATTAAACTGCCCAGTGGGATCCTGTGATCGCAACACAATTTAGTGCTTTGAAATAGAGACAATTTTCAAATATAAAACATTAATCCATTAGTTTAAATTATTTAAACTAATCCTAGTTTAAATAATTTAATAAACATTTTTGTATAACGAATTCACACACATGAAAAATTTCCATCAACAACTATTCCCTAACAAAAACACTACCACAAAGCTACATTGTCACGAACTATACCGTGGGATATAAACTGTATCTCGACGTATAAGAATTACAACAAACTTCAGATTGAATATTTAACCTCCCAGATATATGCTTTAAAATACATCTAATATTGGTACGCGATTATCGCATGATTTGTGAAATTTATCTTACCATGGTGTTTGTCCATCAACACAAGCTTCACCATGAGAACACGATACGCGTATCAAAAGGATCGTGAGCGAGTCTTGAGCTCACCAGCCGTACATTATTGTGCAAGACCCGTCCGAGCTATTCAATTTCGTATATGGTAGCAGTCGCGCACGCACGTTCCATTGGCCGCCTACCGAATTCGAATGAATTCGCCACGAAAAATCATTTGTACATCGCTGATCCGATACGGTTATGCACGGAAAATGTATTACAACCGAAAACGCCACAAAAAAGATATTTACGCCTACTAAAACCGAGTATACGGAACATTAACGAGTTTATAGAATAAAGGTTTACACGAAGTTGTAATAACACGAGTTTATCATGTGTTAGGCTGGAAGTATACAAACGCGTGAGTCACTCAACTGTTTTGAGAATATTAAAAATTTCATATAGTTATGTAACAAACAAGTACTCTGTTATAATAACCAGTGCTACCTCAACAAAGATCTTCTTATATAAAGGAAAGTTGGAGCGCTGACGACATTAAACATTAAAATATTTAAGCGTATCTTATGCCTTTTTGATTTATTAAAGAACGTTTAATATCCAAATCAAACCATACCCTTTGATTTGAAATTCATAGAGCCATTGCAATAATTATATAAAATTATCATTACTAAATACAAAATAATTTATTAATGGATCACAATTTAATTAAAATAGCATCCAAAATACTGGAAAGAGCGATTAATGGATTCCATGGAATTAATTAATATTTAAAATTAAATGTCAATATGTATGACTTTGTTCGTGCGGGATTAAAATTTGGAAGAGGATTAATTTATGTACTTTATCAGTTTCGAACTCCCAGCAAATCAATTGCAAGCCGGCTTTAGTCTTATTACACAAATTCTGAATTGAACTCAACACTGAATTTGAAACTAAATTCTTTTCGCTAACTGTACCTTTTCCTGTAATTACCACTTAAATTTGAAACAAATACAATTTAATATTTCGTTTCAGTTACAGTTATCGCTAGAGCGATACCTATAAACATTTTCGCTTACTTTTACAAGTAAGAGTAAACTTTTGGTATTTTAAAATAGAATTTTTACAAAGTTATTTAAAAAAAACTTTTATAGCATTAAATAATTACTATTGCATATTTCTAATACTATTTTAATAATTCGCATTTTATTACAATTAATATTTTATAAAACAAGTCAAAAAGTGCCCCCACCTGATAGACTTCCATTTGTAATCGAATGAGAAATAATTTTAGACATCTTATGGTAAGCCGACCTCAAGGAGATGCGAGAGTTACCGTTGCTAGACGATCCGCTTGAGCCATTGCTTGATGAAAAGCCGTTCAAACTCATCGAAGACTCGATGTCGGAGGGAATATCCGAATCACTAACATGGCTAGAATCCGTACCCGAAGCCATTATTATCTTTACACGCAAAATTGTTTTATAATAAACTGATTTGCAAATGCAAAAAAGTCAACGAATGCAATTTATACACCGCTGCGTTGTAAATACAGGAGGCGAGCAGACAGACCGGAAGTAGGGCTCGTTGTGCTCGCAGCATTCGGCGTCGACGACCGGTAAGTTCCGGGTCAAAAGGCGTTCCCGACGCACCGGGGTGTGTGTATGCATCGGAAGGAGAAAGCGACGCGGACAGCGAATGCAGCGGGCGGGTGCACGCTTTTCATCCGCCCGCCCAACTGACCTGTGCACGCCCATCTGCGCCGACGATCTTCCTGGCGACCCAGTCCCGGCGCGGCACTGGTGCCCCCGTTTCTATACCAACGCGACGTTACACAAGGTCAACGCCGCAAAAAAAGCGGCGCATACGCACGATAACACCGACGCGTGAATTACTACTGTCGTGTAACTGCGACGAGAATTCGTTAACAATAACAAAGTGACTTAACATAGCTACGCCAACGCTAACATCGCACCGGGCCAAAATATACACATATATGGGCACTGTATTATTATTACTTTTTATTTTTTATATTAACACATGTAGACACTTAATCATTAATATAAGCCTTCATTGTAAATTTAGTTTTCTTTAAAATATAATTTACTAATTAGGAAAATCAATTAAGTAATAATAACATTTTAAATATTTCTGCATTACAAATGCAGATCGACTAAAATTGTAGAAATTCAAAAATTTCTTATCTTTTAATTAAGTTGCTAAAGAATTATAAATTTAATTTGACGCATGGAAAAGACATTTTTTTTTTAATTTATATTTCGGGAAAGTAACTTTATTTATTTAAAAGTCCATGAACTGCTGAGGAATGCTGTAAGAAATGATAAATTTCATATAAGTCGTTTCATTAATTTGTTTTCGCTTGAAGTAAAATGGAAAGATTCCTAACAACCGATGACTTGCATATATAATAATGATTAATTATAATTTAATTATTTATATATTAATATGAACATTTTCTGTTTTTTGTGTACATACTTGTATTACTAGAATTCCAATTACAATAGAAATCAAATTACCACTTAATTCATTCTAAATTACTAAATCCAGTAACTTTTTCGCACCTGATTGGTATACTATTTATAATAGGTGTAATTAAAAATTTCTTCGCTATTTATTGATATATGCAAGGTCTAATTAAAAAAACGTATTAACTATATTTTCGTTAAGAACAAAGAAAAGCCGTCAATGTTCATTCTTACCCAACATTTTGAGTATGCTTTTGTTAAAAAAAAGAGGTGGTTTTTAAGTTTTTTACAAATCATAAATGCACTCAGTTTAATAGAATTCAGTTCTTGACGCTTCGGTTATAAAGACAAAAATTGATTTAAATGGAATTTTATACAACAAAAATGACAATGCACCCAAAGAGTTCACGGTAATGGCTTAGCGCGATGAAGTTACGCCGTGAGTTCAAAGTTCGTTATAGTTCAGTAAAATAGTAACAAAGGGATTTTGTGTAACGCAATAACATCTCATTATTCTAGAGTAACTTTCGGTATAATATCAGTTAATTTACGTTGCGTTAATTTGCGTGTAAAGTAATTGAATACGATTTAGATTTAGAGATCAGAATCCCATTATAAAAGTTACAATGGACTTTGTAGAATCTACTGAAAAAACGTTATGCAACTAAGTACGATATTGTCATATATATTGATATGTGTTTGACTAGCGGCTGATTACCATGCCATATATATGAAATAAGTAAACGCTAATAATAATGCCCTAAAGCCAATATATTATTAATCTATTTAATCTTAAATAGAGTACTCAGTTTGAGTGCAACGACCAAAGTTACTTTACCTTAAAATAACAGTGTCGCTGAAATATCCGACTGAAATACGTCCAAGTTTGCTACTAATTTAATTCCTAAGATTATATTTGGAATAGAACGAAAATTCACGTTGGAAAAATAATGAACGTGTAGACGGAACGGAAATATACCGAACTATAATGTTTTGTTATCTACATTATCATAGTTACAGGTCTTAAAGAAACGATTAGCACTACAATACATACAACATTTGGAAATATTTGTTGAGCACATGAAATCCAACGTAGAGAAGCGCGCCTAGCCTGTATGCTATTTCTGCTTTTAACAGTTTTAAAGTTCATACATATAGGCTTTGTAAACAAGTACTATAATACTAATTAACTCCTTTTCTCGTAGCCTAGATTAATCTCCCTAGAACCAACTCTCAGACATTGATCAAATCTCTAGAAATGATTAACGTGTTCCATATACAAATGAAGTCATCATCTAAGATTAAAATCCCACGGAATAATACAATAATCTACCTTTAGTATGTTATAACATACAATAACTATCGCAGTATCAAACAAAGTGTTTAACTATTTAGTTTTCAAATTAAAATTGTTTATCTAAACAGACCTATTTATTTGAAACATAGGTACTACCCAAATGTCTGTTGCTAAGCTCATAAATTAAAAGCCATGCTATGGCAATATAGGCGGCTTGTCTAAGTTTTTTTTTGTAATAAAAAGGGGGGCAATCTTACTGGAAAATCACCTAATGTTAAGTGACACCGTCGACCATGGTCACTTACATTGCCACAATCGGTACTATGATATATTATATTACTACTTTTATACACTATGTTAATGTAAATAAAGTATATTAAGAATCCAAATTCAACTAACACAACTAACTATACGGTACACCTACACATTGGTGTACACACAAATTGTTGTGTATAATTAAAGGTAAATTCCATTAAAATATATAAAATATAATAAACAATGCAGCAATTCAACATTAAAATTTAATGCATTAGTTAACAACTGATCCAAGGAACCGTATGTATGGATATGAAACAAGCTTTGAATGTATCACGAATTTATTAAAATATTTGGTAAATAAGTGGTAATTCTGACGCAATTAACAACTTTTGAGTACCTAATTGCTACGCATAAACTAAATAATCAATCTCAAAATTATTCACAAAGTGTATTATTATTTCATATTGTATAAGAGTTTTTTTTATTTCAAAAGTATAAGAAACTTCCAAAAGAGAGTTTCTAAGTCAATCACTTAAAATTCAAAACACGTTATGTATGTAGGTAACACGGCATTTTAGTGAAAATTACATACAGTAGAATACACAGAACATTCTCAAAGGAAAAACCGTTCCTTATTGACAATGTTCATCTTTGAAATGGTGAGCTCTTTATGAAATACCCCGTATTGATTCGAAAATATTTCTATCACGCATGCTATGACAGACATGGAAGTAATATCGGTGGAATTCAGTATTCCGCCTAGATGAAACTCGCATGGAGTAGTTCGAATATTAGAAAAATTTCAAATGAAAAATTGTACTTTCTAGCTAGAAATATTTATTTCAAAGCGGAGATATACACAACAATTCACCCAGGAAGGCGAACAAGTAAATTATTTACAACAATAAAACGATTTAGTTATTTGTGTATGCGGTTCGAAATATTCAATACGTACCTAAAAAGATTCTTCTATACACTTAATTATCAAAAATATTTGTTACGTGAATTTTATTCAATGTATGTCTTAACTGAGCGCAAAACTTCCGCGACTTTTCATCTAAAACTACAAACACAAACTACGCAATTTGAGTAGAAACAAAGGAACGTCTAAATATCGATAAGCCTTAATGGCATCATTTACTTTGCACATTAATGAATCACCATTTCAGCGTCACTTAGGGCACACAAATAGGGCTTATATAGATCGACATGATGCTATTGACATTCCCCTACTGAGATTGGCAAGGAGTTGATTACGTAGCATAGCCAGGTTCATTTGCATATACGTTTATTTCAGGTAACTCTAAAAGCTTTAAGTTTGTCACCCCCATATTAGAATATTGATTGGATCCGCCAAGAGCCAAAATATATTTATCTACGATAATAATTCGTAAAAATTAAATTTAAACTGAATTTTTTACAGCAAAACGTAAATATTTCAGTTAGTGCAAAGCATGTCTACAAAACTATTCGCCTATCGCCAGTCTCGAGACAGACTACGTGAGCGGTATCTACTTAGAATAAGATACAAACAATTTTTTAACTCACTTGAGATTACTTAATAGGAGTTCACAACTTGTTTGAAACGCCCAGAAGAGGGATGTATTTTTAAAAGTAAAGCCTAAACGCTCGCTATCATATCTATTACGTACGTTAATTTTAAACCGGCAAACATTAAAATATCCAGTTCCATTATCAAAACTAATTTTAGTACGTTCCAATGCCTAGGCAACATTCCAAATTACGTCTTAATTGTGGTTTTTAAACCCAGTTAAAACAATACAAATTCTAAGAGTCATTAATCAAATTGCAATAAACGTTCAATTAAAAAACCTATTAAGAACTAATGGTTTCGCAATCGTAACAGTTGGTTTGGGAGTGACTGAATTTAAGTTCCACGTTCGTTTAACTAACAGGTGGTTATAGAATTTTAATGTTAAGTATTTCGTAAATCTAGCGAAAAGAAAAATCAACGTTTTGTGGACCTACGGTAGTAAGACTTCACGGTTGAATTGAAGTGCAAGTGCTACGACGTGAAAAGAGTGGCGGCAAGTTTCTAGCCAGTTTTTCTCGTCCGGTCTACGTCAGTTATTTGAGAAGTGGAAGTAATTTTAAATTTTTAATAATTTAATTTCTACTGGCGTTCATAAGTAGGCATTATGTTAGCTATTATTAAAAAATATCAATTCCGGTAACCTAGGTTTACAACTTTAAGGCAACTATATTGAAAGGATCAAAGGGAAGAAGGAGAAGAAGGCGCCCTAGAAAAAGGTGTATAGTAGAAAGAGAAGAGTTAGCAGGAAGCGAATGGAGAAAGACAGCCGATAGACAGAGAGATATTTGGAATAAGCTGGAGGAGGCCTTCACCCATGAAGGGGTTCCGATCAACAGTACTGAAAGATGCTAGGATATTAGGATACATTCTATACTGCTCAAAACAATTAGCGGAACAAGATTTTTCTCCTTTCTATTGCTTAAACTAAAATTAGATTTAAATTAACTTGTACGCTATTTTTTACCTTGTTAATTTGTTAATTACTACAATTAATAAAAAAAATCAATTTGTATTTTTTTTATTAAAATGTGCATTGTAGACGAAAAACAAAGTGACGTTTTTGAATTTTCATTACTTTCTAATCACAGAAAACACATTTTAAGTAGTTTTTTCAATCTTTTGAGTATTAATAGAAATTGAAGTGAGCCTTTTGAGTATTGTTATTCATTGAAGCGAGTGAGTTTAGGTCATAATGCCAGATCCGACTGAATTGCATGTCTCCCGAGCTATCGCTTTGCTTGAAGAGGGTCGAACTATGCGTTATGTAGGAAATTACCTAGGAGTAGCCCCTTCTGTTATCTACAGACTTTGGAAGCGACACCGTGAGACGGGAGAGTACTCACGAAGGCGTGGTCAAGGTCGAAAGAGAAAAACTACACGTTGCAAACGATCGCTACATCGTCAACTGTGCTTTACGTAACCGCACCACAACTGCAAGAGATCTACAAAATACACTAAGGACGGCTACTGGTGTAGACATTTCCGACCAGACGGTAAGAAATAGGTTGTTGTAAGCCAATTTGAGATCACGCCGACCAGTTCGGGCTGTGCGTCTAACAATTCAACATAGACAAGCTCGCCGACAGTTCGCGCAAAATCACGCTAATTGGCAACTTCGACATTGGAGGCCAGTGCTTTTTACTGACGAATCACGATTCCGTCTAACACGTTGTGATGGTCGTCTCCGTGTTTACAGACGCCCAGGCGAGCGATACAGTGCAGCAGCAGTCCAGGAATATGACAAATTTGGATGTGGCTCTGTGATGGTTTGGGGCGGAGTTAGTTTGGACGAGCGCACAGATCTCGTCGTTGTTCCCGGGCGCTTGTGTGCTCAAACTTACATTGAAAATGTGCTCGAAGATCATGTTTGGCCCGCAGCATATGGTATGGGCCCAGATTTTCTTTTAATGCAAGATAATGCCAGGCCGCATACTGCAGCCATCATGTCAGATTACCTACGACAGCAGGAAATCCGTGTAATGGAGTGGCCTTCCATGAGCCCTGACCTAAATCCAATTGAACACATTTGGGACTTGCTTGACAGGCGCATCCGGAAGCGTCCGATTGCACCTCAAACACTGCAGCAGCTCACTGAAGCGTTGATTGAAGAATGGGAGCGAATTCCACAAGAAGATATTCGGAGGATCATACGAAGCATGCCGCGTCGTTGTCAAGCCGTGATTAGGGCTCATGGAGGCCACACACGTTACTGAAAGTCACTAAAGACGAATATTCAAACGATATAAGAATATTTCTTTGATGGACCTTTTTTATCACCAATTAGTTTTTCGTTTACAATGCACATTTTAATTTTTTTTTAAATTTAACACACACATTTAAATTGTAGTAATTAACAAATTAACAAGGTAAAAAATAGCGTACAAGTTAATTTAAATCTAATTTTATTTTAAGCAATAGAAAGGAGAAAAATCTTGTTCCGCTAATTGTTTTGAGCAGTATATTTTTGTAATTTGTAATAACATGAATTTTTTATTATTGAAAATTACACGTGCTTTTATTATTATTATATATTTTTAATTTCTTCTCCTCTGGTCGGTTACTAGAACACTACAAAACGGTTAATTTTCTCGTATGAGTAATTTCACAGTAGCCGACCGGAAACCCGGTGTTGGGGACCAAAGATCCTAATTGCGCCTCAGAAATTCCTTTGTCGATTATGTCTAGGTTTCTTACTTAAGCGACTAAAGCGAACCCTAAGAGTACTCTAGAGACCCGGGCTAAAAAACGTTTTTAGTTTGATTCGCGTAAAAGTCTGATTTTCTGCTAGACAAAATAATGTGTCAATTATGTGTAGCAGCTGCAGAGTTCTCAACTTTACTACTATCAGAAGATCGCTGGTATTGTTAACTGTGAAATTCAGCAACTTACCGATGGCTTCATCTCCAGTACCCAAAGGTTGTCTCGAAGGTGAAGTTTTTTGATGTGGTTGCGGCTTCAGAACTTGGGCTGGCACAGCACCCTCTTGTGGAGGGTCGCCATGAATCCTCACAACCCACCATTCTAGTCTTGCCTGCCATGCCTCTAGCACTTCTACCTGCTGGCCTTTCGAGACTGTCAGCTCGCCGGCACCTCCAGATATGTGGTCTGCGACAACCCATGTCATCTCCGGACCGGCCTGATGACAAAACCTTTATTAGATTTGCTGAATACAACAAATATTAAACATTATTGATATAACGTAATAAATCAAAGAAACCTAATAATTAAACACTTAAAAGATTATTTTATTCTTGCAGTTGGACAAATTTGGTTTTTTAGACGTTATGAAGAGTTTTCAGTGTAAAAATAATAAATTTCAACTTTTATGTTACAACCTCTTACAAGTCATAGTATTTATCGAGCATTATTAAAATATAAATAATAAATCACTAATAACATATACATATATTCATATAAATAAGCTTATAAAGTATTTTTAAATTAAGTTTACTTGGAGATAATAGACAGAAATATACAAAAGTGACATGACATGAAACCAACCGAATTGCCAAACGCTATTCTGCTAATGTCTGAACCAACATTTATCCAAAAAAAATCGAGCGAATAAAATACATAGGTATAATAGCGACAAATACCGCGAAATTTGCGTTCTAACTTTTGCCACGGCGAAGTTTTACGTACGCACAAATTTAGGAAATCAATTTTTTGTATACCATGGTATTCGCGAAAGTGATAATGCGGTGGCTGAGTGGTTAATTGTGCGACTTTCAAACCTAAGGTCGTAACCTCTAGCTGTGTATTAACAGATTCCTTCAACACTTGCTGATACGATAACGAAAATGTAAAGGCAAACTAGCATGTCTTAGCCCAAATATCAAAAGAAAAGCCATTTTGGATGATTGCATATATCTATTAATTTAAGTTTTAAGTTTAAGTATAACATATGTTTCATTCGCAATTTCGTGTGCTTTGTTTTTTTTTTAATTCACAAGTTTCTTACGTTTTCCATATTATTTAATGTCAATATCAAAGATTTAAAGCTTAATTTACGTTTTAAATTATATTTATCCACTTAATATGGAGCACCAAGCTACTTCCCTATCCATAAAATGAGTGACATCTAGAACTTGAAATTTGTTCCATTTAACTGAGAAAAATAAACTGCATTTTACAACCAAACTGAAAGCCACAGTAGGTAAAGTTTTCGTAGTAACTTATTATTCTTTTAAATACTGTATATCATGAAAATTGGCTTTGGTATAAGTCTTTGTGTATAGGGTTAGTATGTCTTATGCAAAAATAAATTTTCTAATTTTCTCTTACTAATTGACTTGAATGTCGATAACAGGCTGGGGTGCAATAATAATATGGAGGAGTATTATAAACATTTAAAATAAACTGAATTTCAAAATTAATGTATTTTATTAATTTATCTTTCGCAATTACCAAGAGATATGCTATCATTAAACCTTTTTTCTATAAGCCCAACAGCAGGGAAGAACTATAATAGTTTATTATTCGTCCCTCCATAATTCGGAACCTTCTAATTCATTTGATATGTCTTGACACCTATTCTCGACTTCCATAAAGTCTTAAAGTCTGATGTTACAACAAACTTTTCTTAAAAACACTATAATGATTTTATCATCCGTTAAAAAACAAACAACAAACAAACTTTAAATAAAGTTTGCAACGTTTAAAGTTTGAATACCAACTTCATCAAAGAGCTAAATTGATATTTATTAGCACTAAATGTTGTATGAAAGTAATTAAAAAAATAATTGCCACTCAAATTAGGTCCCAAGCCAAAGAAACGCTTTTAATTATTCACCAGCACACCTTTCACTCTCAAAAATGCAGGGACTGGAGTAGATTTAAAAATTGTTGGAGAAGAGATACCATCATCATCATCACGTATATACATCACACACAAATCTATTGTATATTATACGGTCAAGAGCAGGGATCGATGTCAACACTACAGGCTGTTGATAACCAAATCTACTAATACAAGATAACAACCGCGATAAGGTAACATACTAACAGATAAATATATTCTATTGCTTCTATTAACACTTATTGAAACTTATGTTTACATAATTATTAGCAATTTGTGTATCACAATTGCATATGCGGCAATATTTCTCAGATTCAAGCGAATATGTTTTTAATGCTATATGTGCTAAGAGTAAATTTTCTTTGGAGTCATAAACCGAGAGACTACAGCTATTGAACCGAGCAAGCAGTTTTTCATGCCTTTTTCTTTCAAATTTGATAGTATAAAGCCGACAGCCATGACCGTGTCGCATGACTGATTCAGAATATAAATGTATTGTTAACATAAATATAACATTAGTATATCACTAGCGCTGATTACAGAGCTTTAAATCAAATCTTCTCATATCAATAAAATAACAGGATCTAATTATTTCGTTTATATTCAATAGAATATAAAATTGTATCTATTAGCTGTTACCGACTACACTGACAGCCGAACAGCATAAAGTAGATTACTATTTATTCATAATAAAATATATCAGTGGCGCTACAACCTCTTTGGTGTGGGCCTCAGATTTCTGAATCTGTTTCATTATCAGTTTTTAAATCGAATAGGCAAGTAGGATATCGGCCTCCAGTGCCTGACACACGCCGTCGACTTTTTTGGGTCTAAAACATGTCGGTTTCTTCACGATGTTATCCTTCACCGTTCGAGCTAATGTTAAATGTGCACATAGAAAGAAAGTCCATTGAAAGCACAGCCGGGGATCGAACCTACGACCTCAGGTATGAGAGTCGCACGCTGAAGCCGCTAAACCACACTGCTCTTATTCATAATAGTTATATAAATATTGTGTGCATCCATTAAATTGTATAAAATCAATTCCGCGAGATGGATCGCTGAACGTACTATAATTATCTAACTGATCCTCGGCCACTCGCGAACCTTGAACAGATATTTCCATCACTAACATTCGAAAGCGTCAGTAACTCACTGTACAGCTTTACTTGTGATTGATGACATAGCGATCGCATACCAATACATTGTTTCCATTCACTGATTTCAGTTACTAAATTTTAATAATGTTCTACGAAATAAAAATCTCTTAAGTGGCTTTGGGAAGTTGCGTATATCGCCCTCCGTCTTGGATATTGATGGAATACAAGTGAGTGAATTTCACGGCAAATTTTATCATATTAAAACAAATTTAACATAGACCTCTGTGGTAAGCCGATAAAATACACTTCATGAATTAAATAAATATAGGAGGATATTGCCACAGCGGTTCTAGTAGATAAATAAATACCGCGATTAACGTCGTCATATTATTAATAATAAACCATTATTATTTCCTCTTCAATCCCGATTCCTGTACTATATAATATTAAATGCATAACGAACGCCGAATGTAAATAAATACTCTGAAATTCATGACATATTTTTTTTATGAATTGTCATCCGGGTGAATAATTAAAAACTACTTAATAAACAAAAAAGATCAGGATAACAGAATAATGCTAGTCTCAACTAATCGCTGCGGATAGTTTGTGACGTCATAGTCCCAGTGTATTAACGCCGGCTGGGGGTATGTTTTCGTAATCACCTGCCGGCGGCTGCCCTTAAGGAGACGAGCATGGAAAGAGCTCGGCGTGTCTATGGTGTGCTGCCGCGTTAGAGACGCATGTGGCGAGGTGACGGAACTCTGCCGGAACCATGGCAGAGAAATCTTTCGCCGGCTCTTGTCCTGTTTTGTGAGCGGCGCAGGCGAGGGGTGAGGCGGGGTGGCAGTCATCGCGCGGGCGCGGCGGCGGGGTGCGGTCGCGGCCGCCTCGTCCGGTGCGGCGCGCGGCGCTCGTACCACTGCCGGCCTCACTCACTCGCCTCAACACTCGCACACTACGCAGCCTCCGTATCGAGCTATCTTAGCTGATTTACTCCAAACACTTCCTCGCCGAAGGACGCGCGTAGTCCAATGACAACTTCCGAAATACGTAACCAATATAAGTTGTACAACATTATAGCAAATGTGTATATGAAATTATTCATAGTGTAAACGAAGCACAATTCAGAAATCCTCAAATAATTATAGCAATAAGACCTCTTCCAATTATTATACAACATTCGATACGGGTAATTTAAGCGCTTAGGTAGAACCTAACTTTGAGCTAACTAAACCAATTTAATGTTCCATGCACAAAATTGGTTAAAGGCTCAATTAAAACTTTAGTCTGCAAGGATTTTAAAGTCAAACTTATTTCAACCTTAATTATGATATTATTAAGTATTGAATATAATATTTACGGGAGATGCAGGGGTAGTTAAGAATATACCTACACTAAGGTTCTGTGGACAAAATATTAAAATAATCAAGTGGAAACATTCAAATTATTTTTTATAAACTGTGACTAAGTTTATTCATGTATGAAGTATCAATCAAAGCGCGGGCGAGAGTCGAGGCGTATAATAAATGTATAGCTCTGCTACATCATGTCGTTCAATTTCATCTCTCGTTACTTTAACGACATCTCCAATTACCGAGACTTTCTTAAGTTTCCTTTGATAGTAACTTATCAGGTACGTTCTGAGGAACATACGAGATTCGCAATTCGTTAACTTGTATTGTTTACAGCTTAACATATAACAAAGATCGTATAGTTTGAATACAATAGTTAAATTTCTATCGACTCTTTAAGATTATATTTTAATATATTATACGCCAGAAATTTTAAATAAACTTTACAACAATATGAACAAGGAAACCATCCTAAACGGTGGTATCGGCACCCTTTTGAATATAAATGAAAAGACATAGAGGCGTTAACAAACTAATTACACGTTAGCCCTGTAATTAACAAGTTGCATAACTCCTCATTTCTCACTACCATGCAGTTTCTAATAAATAATAGATAAAATGTTCAGCGAAGATGTAGTTACAACTTTACAAAGTGTTCAAACAGAATTTGTTATAGTCATTTAAAATTTGGGTCCATTGTACAACGAATATTATATATAGGATATAATAATATGTAACAATATGTAATAATGATTGTAACAATTGCTGTTCAATTACATGATTCCCTTTCTTTCTTATTACCTTTGGATGTATTGATTGTACTATTTTTGTGCCACTATTATGCGATACGAACCTTAAAAAAAATAGTTTTTAGTGCCGATTAGTTTAGGGGAACACAGTACGACAGTGCTGCATAAATATGCATTCGGTTTTTTACAATAGATTAAATAACTACTACTTTTCAACGTGTTTTAAAAAAATACAATAACCTGTATCATAATATCTGTAGTGGTAGAAAAAGTACAAAACCAAACAAAAGTACAAAGTAAAAGGGAAATGGGAATGAAAAAGCGAATCACGTAATTGAACATAAACCTATTCTAATCAGATATATTGGTACATGCATTCGACGCATTACATTTTCTCTAATCTAGTTTTTTAATTTCTTAAGTGAAATAATAATAAATACTCTACGTAACAAGCATGTAATTTATAAATCTTAACGTTGACCACAAGCATTCATTTATAAAAATATCAGAAGCTTTGAAATGCAATATGAATTAATATTTGAAAGGTATCCTCTACTCTAATTAATTGAATTTTCCATTTTATAAAAATTGTCGTATCTTTTGAAAGCAGTATTACATAATAAAATAAGACCTTTTCAAAGTTGTTGTACTACTTCCGTCTCCTTCATTAGTTATTCTTCATTAGCATCAGTCTTTTGTTTATTTAAACCTAGAGTTCCTATCAAAATAATTGGTTTCGCAATAAGCTTTAAATTTGAGACAGAAATGCGGTAAAATGAGGACGTACTCTAATGAAATTATGACTCTTAATATCAATCTCGATAAATAGTTATTCGAATGCAGCTTTCCAATCATCTAAGGCCACAGCGTTGCGGGATATATTCTAAACTAAAAGCAGTAAATGCAAGTTTTTGTTAGTTACTACTTAGTTACTTGTATTCATTAGCTGAATTCAAAATACATTTTCTTGATATATATTGAAAGGAAGACATATTCATTTGACTAATAGCTCTTCTCAGAATCATCCATTAAGTATTTAAAGTTACTTGAGTCATAATATAAATTACAAAACCTAAAAATAGATCGAAGAATAAATAATGCTTAAATAAGAAGTAACCTGATCAGGCTTTAAATTTTGTAGCCTAGTAGCACGGTCTTAAAATATACCTACATAGTTAAATTTTTCTACCTAGCATTAGTGTTATCGACTGAGAGCACAAGAAATATATAAAATAAAATGTTACAAAGGTACTAACATGGAAAAGGATAAATTGTTAAAGCTGGTCTTTAGATATATTAAAGTTGGGGATGGTTTATATACGGAAGGACGACCTTTCATTCGACATTCAAGCTTGAGCAAATCTAAAATTTTATTGATGTTAAATGGGGAATGGGATTTTGGTATTTTCATAAGCATTGACACTAGAAAACATCAAGGCAACCCTTGTTAAAAAAAATACTATAAAACGCAAGATGTGAAAATTATGTAAGTAGGTACACAAAAGGTTTTAAAATTAATAAAAAATAAGGCTAATAAAAGATCACTCAAATCATGTTAATTGATTAACCAAGATAACTTTTCCATTCGCTCGCTTAATACTGAGGTTAATAATAATCTATTCTAGCAAAGAAAACTCAACATTCGTTATTTAAAAAGCGGAGGTGGATACCGTGTTAGTAAAATGAGTTTCTTGATAAAAGAAAAAAGAATTTGCATAGTCTACGAGAATTTCATAACACGTATTCTCTCTACAATTAAGAAATTATCTTTAAAAAATTTGTTGAATTTTGTTCATAACATGCTTTCGAGAACTTTTCGTTGTCCTCTGAATCTATATTGAGACAACAATAAAGAGACATTACGTCAAAGGACGCTCAAGAAATTAGCTTCAGACAGGATTTTAAAACAATTATTAATACTTTTACACAGGCTACATATTACGATGTAGCTTATAAAAATCCTTGATCCGGATGCATTGTCGCAAACTGAATGACACGGGGTCAAGTTATTTATACAGAATTTCTGAGAATTGATTTTTCTTTCTATAATTTATAACCTTATTTACTGAGTAATTAAATACCTTTAATTAATTTTCATTATTCTTTTTCCGTATCATATACTCGAAACTAAAATTGTTTTAAAAATCCACCCCGTGTTTTGCATATTTAATTCGTATGCGAAGCATTGAGAGAAAGGAATTCCCTCCCGATCGTTTTCTCTGAATACCTGGTTCAAGGAAACATGATGCTTCGAACAACACTATTCGTTCTACATTTATTTATATCATCCTCCTCTATGATCATGTTTAATATTTAGACATATTCATATACATTTTATGGGATATTCGTCGAGATATAAGCGATCGCTTGAGTTTTAAGAAGTTCGCTAAAAGTTTTAGCTAACTAGTGCCCTTAGACACTATTTTAATCCGACTAACAAGTTAAATGGGTAACAAATCAATAATTTAAATTCCCGCGTGAATTTTGTGTTTTAAGCCAAGAATCTTAGCTCATCAACAATAAACGTTATATTAATGAAAAACAATTTTCATAAACCATATTGTGTTATACTAATTATATATCTCTCAAGAATATTGGCGTTTATAATATATATAGATACGTCATCGTCATCTAAAACTAAGATAAGAAATGTGATCAAAATAAATACTGCAACATAAATTTTCCATATTTCGATAATCGATTTAAAATGTAATTAGAAGGCTACTTGCAAGATCTAAATTATATAAGAGCTCTTACCTTATCTGAGTCGGTGGTATTTCCACTGCCGAAGGAAGCTAGTGAATTGCGGTCAAGATTCTCGGTGTCCGTGTCATCGAAGTCCCTGTTGAAATCACTCATTAGAACCACCAGTATTTCTACTACTCGAGTATATCAAATAAATACGTAAGGGAATAATTATTGAGTGATTCTTTAGATTGTTAATTATCTATTATGTACTAACTGAAGTTTTATTAAATTTGTAATACTGAGTGTTTGTTGTAAAAGACGCGAATTTCTGTTTGACATTTGAATTTTTACAAGAATAATTTTTGTTAGAACAAAAATCATATTTTTTTTGTTTTAGATTTTTTGGTTTTGGTTTTTAAGGGAATTAGATTAAAATAACTGTTTTGGAGAACTTTTATGAAATACATGTACAGTAAAACGATTGCAGTATTAGGCGCAAATGTAACATTTACGAATAAAAATTGAACCCATACGAAAGAACGGGTGTCTCTTTACAGTCTGTCCTTTAACTTAAATAGAATGTTTGAAACAGTATCTAGATTTTTTAAATAAACAAAATAAAGGCGTTTATAACCCTCTTCATAAAAAAATAGGTGATTGTTACTATTATAAACATAAATATAGTATTGTACCTCGCTGTTCGTATGGTTTACTATGATATGAAACCAGTAAAACTAAAGTCAAGAGTACTTGAAACAGCGTAAATGCAAAGTTATACTGAACTCCGCAAACTAATATTGGCGAACTAAAATTTCACAGACTCGAGTAATTAAGCGTTCAGGTATTTTGATAACCTCATCAAACATAAAATTACTGACCAACATGCAACACGTAATTATAATATGCATGTAAAATTTTACACGCTCAGAATTTCCAGAAGCGCTATATTTATTAAATCACTATGAAATAATACACTATGAAAAAGTATTAAACGCTGTTTTACAACGAATTCAAATGTTTCTACAGAAAGTTATACGTGTGTTTTAAGAACTTTCATACATTTGCAGCAGACAATCGCTGAACTTACGATTTATCAACATTCTATTCAATATTAATCATCAAGATGTGTTTAATATTAAAATTAAAAAGAGCTATTTTAATTTTTTGTTAATACATTTATCAGATATCACGTGTACGTATAATTCGTAGTACGTAAAAGTATGTCTTGGCAGAATCTTAACCAATAAAGAGCTGAAATTTAACGATTATCCGACGCATCACTGAGTAACGTAAATTTCCACTTCATATTTAAAATATTTTTCTTAAAATATAAAGTCAGTTGGCCGATACAAATATTAATAGTTATTTTTAATGTTTTTAGTTTACACAGGGGAACAATTTTTTTTTTGTTGTTGTATGGAATTTTGAACCTGTTGTTTAGTAATTTGGGGAGGCTGATATCGAATTTTTTTTAGAAGCTTTATTTTTCAGATATAAAGATAAAAACGTTCCGTTCTACCCTTGATAATATATTTCATGGGTTGTCATGCATATTATTGATGAAATTGAATTAAACAACGTATAATAATGTGAATAACTTATGTATGTTTACCTGCTGGAACGCTGTGAACTTGTAGGTCGTACGCGGGCCGGACTACGCGGCGGCAACGCTTTGTTGAAATATGTTTCCTGTAAAGAAATAATATTTTAGTATTTGACTAAATCAATGCACCTTAAAAATATCAGAGGCAGAAGTTTAAAAACTCAACGCTTCGGTACAGTTTTGTATAATGTATAATAATTTTCTTGGATTAACATTCGTTTGCACACTTACACGAGAGTAGCAGGGACAAAAGATTTAATAATTAATTATAGTTTATAGTTAGTTTATGTACGTTAACGTTGAGAATAAATTTTTTTATCAATTGAGGATCCATGGTTGTCTTCATTCTGTTGTCAATCAGAGACAAAGCCATTCGTATAACATTTTACCCACATCGATTGATATCGCAAAGGTAAAGGGTGTTACTTATTCAATTATTGATTCTTACCATTTCAATTACCGAGTACAACAGTCGGATTTCAATAACTGTATTCATTTTATTTTCTTATAAAAAGTTTTTTTTTTGACAAAATTCAAAAACTTCCTGCGGTACTTCCTTGTGTTGAAATAATCTTGCCACAAAAATGGAACATGTCCAACGATCTATAGATTTTTATTAAAACCGATATGAAACGAAGAAATTCGATTACTACTTTCCTTAGGTGTATAGTATTATAAATAAAACATTTGCTAAAACACAATCCTTTTCCACAAACCAATTTCCGGGCAATGACGTTAGCAAATGTTGTATCAGATTTTATTTACGCGCAGTAAACAAGCTTCGATTGCTATTATATGTGACGTCAACATGTGAATTTACTTATACTGTTTATAATCAAAAGCCCTTTATAAAAATCACATGCCTCAAAAGCTTCAAAGCTTCAAGTGATCTTATGTTTGAACTTTACTAGCTAGCTATTATTAATAATATTTCTGTGGCCACTACAGTTATACAATACTAATACAATACATAGTACAATATCAAAATTTTAGACTATTTAATAAGCACGTTCCGGCTTAGAAAAGCTCAAGAGAGAGAGACCCAGACGGGGTCAATGAAATACAAGAAAATAAACTTAATAACTTGAGAAAATAACGTTAAAAATGTCTGAGGATTTTTTGCAATCTTTATTTAACCTACGACTGATGATAGTGGCGCTCCTCTTAAACAGTATTGATTCGTAAGTAGCTCAACGGGCAACTGGTGGTAATTCGCGGCAAGGATATTTCCCAGGGCACATAAAAAATTCAATAGAAATATGTATTTGAAAGAACCGAGCTAATAAATTAAAAAAAGGGTGCGTGTACTTATGTACGTGCGTAAGAAGTTATACTTCTTTGGTATTATTAAAAATAGTTTTTGATTGCATGCAAATAATTAATTACAATTAAATAATCAAAGACTGGAAAAGGAGTCATTATAGTCAATAAAGTTCAGTTTACATTTGAAAAATTAATTAAATAAATATTTATTATTATTCTCTTACATTAAGTGTAACATAAATTCTATTATTATTCGAATGTTGTTTTTAAATTATGTCCAATGCCGTAGCATCTTCCGTGGGCAACTTCATTCTGTTAATTTTGTGTCACGGTGCGCGCGCATCGTAAAATTTCACTCTCATCAATTTTTCATAACGCGCCTAAAGAAGTATAACTTCAAAAAGAAAAGAAAGTGAAAGAGTCGAAGACTAAAAAAACAAAACAAATACAAAAAATATATTAATAAATTGTATACTTACTTGTATAACCTCCCGCAGTCTTCTAACCCAAGTCTGCTTGACCTCAAGTGAAGGGGCCTTAAGCATTATACGACAATCGCTGGCCATCGGCTCTCGGCCAGTCCACACAGAGAACTTGCATTCGTCACCTTCAATGTGTTCTGTTACGCCCAGTTCTGACGTCTAAAAAATTAAAGTAGCTTATATTTGCGACCTGTCGCACTTAGACTAACGAAAACGAACTACTGAATGTTTATAATATACAGTTTTTTCGTGTTACTATATTTTTAGATTTAAAAACAAATCTTACCATGAATTTAGTCTTGTAGATATATTTAGCCTTTCCATGGGTATCCTTAACCTCCTTTGCAAGCAGGAGATGCAGGTCGAAGAGGAAGACTCGTCTTTCACGACACTTTTTGATAATCTGACGAAGATCCCATACTTGGAATGAATCTTGGAGTACAACTTCACCCAAACTATCCGTCGGCACGTCACAACCCTCAAGATTAGAGAGGTGCATCGCATCATTTGCTTTCTTCGGCACGGAGAGCATAACCTCCAAACCGTCCTATCAAAACAAGCACATAATTAAATTAATATTTTAGTTTTATATATTTTTTAACTTAACTTGTATGGGCTACATCTATTGAATTTTTAATTAACGAGTGCCTCTAGGCTTTTAAGCTTTACGGCTTACGTAGCCACAGTACATTTAAAATTCATGGAACGACGCTTCGATGAAACTTTGTGTTTACCCTTTTTGTCTGAGATGGCCCATGATGGATTCCGTGTAGAATTAGGCAAAATATAATCAATATAGTTGTTTATTTAGAGTTAAATCACATTCAGGAAAACCACCGCAAGACTATACCGCAAAGGAAAATACTTTGTATTTGACGTACGTAATGAAGATATGGATTGATCATTAGCAAAAGGGACGGTGACACACTTTTATTTGTGTAGGACAAAAAGTCATTACTTAACGAACGATAAAAATTAAGAAAACTTTTGCGCGTTCTACTTGACTAGCTTTTTATGTCGACAATATTTTTTTAGGAATCAAATTAATTAATATAAAATAATACATACAACATGTTGTGCAGGCCCTAGACGATTTTGCCGATGACTATTTAGATATTTTAACATTATAAAACAAACACTATCAACACTAAAACGAACCATTCCATTTGTATTATTAATCAAATGAACGTTCTGAATACGTTACAAGTCCCGATGTGTAACTCTAATGAAACACAAGGAAAATTGTTTCGAACATATTGTTAATTACAGCGAATTAATTTGTTTAATCTCAAATATTGTTCGACGTATTGTAATGGGGCAAACATCTACTTGATACGACCTAATGGCTTTGACTATACAAAACAAAGGTCATTAGTTGATAAAAGAAATTTTGTCTTGTGTATACAAGTTCAAAGCGTTTCACTGAAGCTGATTAGAAGCGCAGCTTAACGTTTTTATCGATTCGCTATGCTCTCATAAGTGACATTTATGTACGAATTTAATCTAGCGTATAGTGATAACATTGTATTTTCAGTTTAGGCTATATACCGCAGAAGTTAGACATAGTAAATGTTACTAGTAAAAGTTACTCTTAACGGTTACGCACTAGAATTTTATGTGTCAAGCGATATGACTAAACCAAACACAAAATGGAAATTAATCTCAATTGTATTGTTTGTAAAAGGAAAAACATGTCTATCGTGAGCCAAGGGGTTTCCTTCGCGCATATGTAACAATGTAAAACTAACGATAACTTATGGAATATGATAAAAAAAGAACTTTACTATCAGTATGTTCACTCAAAAGCATTTATCAACAATATATACCTTTTATTGCAACAACAAAACAATTAGAAATTAGTTTGTTTCTATTATAACACTTTTATAAACAACTTACTTGAATTCTAACAAACACTAAACAAAGTTTGCGAAGAAATTTTGTGTTCTGTGCACACCATAAGTCATTACGGCGCTGTTATCTTATCTCAAGTATCGAGGCGAAAGATAAAATTCACGATTAGTGTCTTTGACACTTCTATTGTGGTTCTAGTTATACTATTATAAGTTCAATTATTTATATTGATTTTTTTTTCCATTTTTTTTTCAGATTATATATCCTATTTGCCTTACGGTTTAACCCTTAAATGCGTTCATAACGTTATGTTAGATACCTATAGCCAATGGGAACCAGATTTTCCTGAGATTAGCATTCAACCAAACAAACTTTTCAGCTTTATAGTATTAGTATAGATTAAAATTTTCGGAATTCTTTTGTTTAAAAAACAAATTAATCATGCCATGAAATATCGCATCTCAAACTTTATAGTCGACTTAAAAATTCTAATGACGTTATTGTTAATGTTCCTCTATACAAAAAACACTGGAATGTAATACCTTTGCCTAATAAAAACTAAAAGTGCTATTGGACACATTCTTATTAACATATATGATTAAACTTAACACTGTTCTTATAAAAGACAAATCATAGAATAAAAACAAAATAAGATCGTTGACAGCGCAAAATCTTTTTTAACATTTATACTATTGTGAAAACGGAATCGTCGAATCAAATTAAAACATAATGGTTAAATTGTTTCAGTCTGGTTACTCAATCAAAATTAAAAAAATAAACTTATAACTTACTTTTATTTCCCCTTGTCCCTCAGCACAGCATGCTTGAAGATCTTTGAGGAGTAGCTGGTATTTGGTAATTCTTTGTACCGGCTTGATTAGATACGCTGCGAGGGGATGCTCCAACTTTTTTCTTCTTTGAACCCTAAAAATTGGAATAGTATAACAAGGGACACCTATTGGATGGTTACTAAACAGCATAAAATTTGTAAAAGCGCCATCTTTTGAGCATTTATTAGAACATAATAGTTGAAGGTTGGTAATGGTTATGGTTGGTGGACTCATTTTCCGCACTTAAGACTCATAATAATAGTTGAAGGTTTATGGTATAATAGTACATGATGTGCTCAATAGATGTCGCTTCAATGATATAGGTAGATCCATTTAATTATTGTCAGAATCTGTTTGAAATATTTATTTTAATAATTTCATTTATTTACTTTGCAGATAATTTTTTTTTTATCAATGTTGTTATTTGAAATTCCGCAAGCGTATAATACAAAAACTGAGATCGTGTATTCTAGCCCCGAATATGAAGCATGTAATTTTTCCTTTATTTGCGAAACTAGCACACACTTGTATAGTGACCAAAAAATTTAAGAAAACTGGCATATTAGGGGAGATTCAAAGTCGAGACAAGTACTAAGTATGAAATTGGGTTTGAACCTTAGACTCCAAAATCTATTTGTTAGCCATGCATAAAAATTATCCATAAAAACAGAATTAAAATTTAAGATTTAAAAAGGGATGTAGTAAAAATATATCATCTAGAACCCTTAAATAAAATCAAATCTTGCGACCGCTTTATGTCTGTGTGAACGCAAAAGCTACCGAATGAATTATTAAGTCAGTTTTAGATATATAAGTATGGTGTTATTAAAGTAACTAAAATGTTACAACAATTGTGGAAGAGGTCAAAAAATATCCTGCCAAAATCAACGGGCAAAGCTACGGAAGGCAGCTGTTAGTATAAGTTTTGAATCGCGTAGCACACAGCGGCCACTATTTAAGGCTCGACTTCTTTAAGCTATCGCGGAACATGCTTAAGGAATATTAAGAATATCCAAAGCACTAAATGACGTCATCATGAGCGCACCCACATACACGGCCGAATTAGGTATTACTAAATTAAGCATATTTAATATTTGTAATTGTTATTTTCATTTCTAAGCCTTTTTGTGTATATTATAAATTCAATTTTTGCCTATATCTTTAGTATATTTGTTTTTGTTATATATATTTTAAGTTAGCTGTAGTACAAAAAAAAAATAGTTCACCTTTCAAAATAATCTCCTGCATGCTGTACAACGGCCGCATTACTGTCGGGTTTGTTACGGCAGTAGGACACATACATATCGAACTGCCTCGCCCAAGTCACAAAACAATGGCCAACGTCCTCAGGCCACGCCTCATACTTGTCCAACTCACGAAGGAATATACGCTCGTGGAAACGATGGATCTCTTCGATGTTACCGAATATGAGTTCCTCCTGAAAATAGGAACAAAATTAGTTTCCCATTTAGAACAGTCAGGTAGAAAAGATGGCAAGAATCGAAGGTTTTCTTAGAACTATTGCAACCACGCAAAATCTTGCCAACTTCGTAACATACCTATTAACTGCTTTTTATTCGAAATGTAGTTGCGAAACGTCAAATTCACAGACACATTTAATCGGTTTGTTTACAAATTTGGATTCACATTGCAATAATTTTAGGAAGCGTTCAAGTATTACGTCACGTAAGTTTTGCAGATTATTAATCCCCTCCCCCCCCCCATGTGTCGCGCCGTAACGTTTTTCTGTACCCAAGTATAGTAAAATGTTTCTTGACCACTTAGTGACTCTTTATACCTCAAAGTTACCATTATGTGGTGTAAAGTACTGGAAAGTCGAAAATAATATTAGCAATAACGCGTACTTCAATCCCCACCCCGCATCGTAACGTTTTACAAAAAGCCAAAAAATTCGTTACGTAATACTTGAACGCTCCCAATATTTCTCATCTTCTACTAAGTTTAACTTAAAAACAAATATATTTATTTATCAATAGTAAAATTTTGTAAAGCATTTATTAACCTTGCCCTGAAGTGGCGCTGGGACTGAAGCTGGGTCTGTCCGCATTTCACGTAAATACCCAGTGATGCACGTCTCGAGATCTTTAACGTAGGCGCGCTCAGTTTGCAGCAACTCGGCCATTATGAACCTGCAGCAATTAAAATTGTATTGCTTGTAAATCGCGTCAAAACTTTCCTATTTAAACCTCAAGGTACCACTAGTTGAACACGTCGAACTTTAGCAAGACAGCGGGTGATAATGTTGAACTGAAAAATTAAGTTAAGGCGCAAGGCGAAACGTTACGTTTGATTGTGATTGGTCAAACAGACGTCATGACGTATCAACGTGCGTAGAAATGCTTTTAACCAAGCAAAATCAAACCGTACCTACAATCGTTTCGTTTTTCATACTCAGCTGAGATATCGTTCTGCGAAAGTAAGATGGCGATTTTGGTCACACATTTGTATTATTTATTTCGATATTTTCTATTCGTTTCTCAACTAAGTTGGCAGCAATATTATCCATATTATAATATGGCATGTGTATATAATAGTATATACTTGAATTAAAATAACGGTTTTATTATTAATTATATTTTTTCTTCCTAAAGGCTGTCAAGTGTAAATTGAAAATTTCTAGAATCAAATTCAACTGTTTGATAATTTGAATTACTGAATTATAGTGAATAATAATTACTCTTTTCGCCTGGCACTGCGTCTCTTCTCATCAGTGGATGCTGGTGGCTGTGGTTCTCCTCGTACCTCACTTTCAGAATGTGTCGAAGCTAGAGATGGCGCCATACCAGAGTCACTTTCCACTTCCACCTCACCAGCCTCCATGGTACCACTGAACTCAGCATATCTGAAAAATAATTTAATTCAATCCTTCATTAATTTAAAATATTAGTCCATAGAAAAATCAACGTATATATTCGGACGATTTAGCACAATTGCATACTGTTAAAAAGCGCTTCATTACTCTTATGAAATATAGAAACATATCGTTACTACATAACATGTATTGCGAGACTGTTATATATGAAATTGTATCCGTACCTGGCATCAACAGCAGCCACCCACTCCTTGATCTGAACGGCATGCGGATGTCCCTTTTCAACAAGTCCGTCGGCCAATTGTGCGAGCAATCTGACTCGCTCACGGCTTTCTCTTGCCACACCAGCGGCCGCAGCAGCGGCAGCCGCCCCACATCGCTCTTGCGTCTCCCGAATCCATTCGACTGCCGCTCGCGCAGATCGCTCAAATAAAGCGAATTGCTGGCACTGTTCTAGACGCTTTTTGCGAACTGTCCAGTGTTCCAGTACCTACGATTAACGTTGATTTATAGCCACCATAATGCAACAATAGGGATTTGTTAAATCAGTAGCAATATAAAATTATTCATGTATCACAATATTTTACGATAATGGTCACAATTTTTTTTAGAATATAAATTATGCCGAATATTATCATTTACATTGATGATTCAAAAGTGACGAGATTTGTATACACTAAAAATCTAAGGGATTTTTAAACTTCCTATTTTAATTCATAAAATCAAAATAAAATTACCGGTTGTATCAAAATCATAACAACAGTTCCCCACATGAAGCACAACTACGTTTGACAACCGACCATTATTTAGCTACATCACTGATATCATCGCAAACTAACAAAAGCTTTATTGTGTAAAAATATAAAAGCAATGCCACTGACAATGACTCTTGATTACATTCAACGATTTCAAAATAATTGTGTGTCACTCGTCACGGAAATAATTTATCGTCAAAATCGCAATAACTAGTTTACGTGTGATCGCGATCGTATTTAGTAATTGTTTATGTTAAATGTATTTACTGTAAATTGTATCGTGTACCCGGAAAACAGCAATTTGTACTGATATACTAAAAATAGAATTAATTGCATTCGATCGGTGCCAGGCAGTCTAGTGGTCTAGGCTAGAGTGTTATCACATAACCACAATTAGCAGAAAAAACATAACAACATAACATAAACAAAAAAATCTAAAATAAATAAAAAAATACGAATTCAGACCTTATTTTCTTGACATAGTAGAGTATCGAGAATGGCCCGGGTTTGCTCGTGGTGGGCCTTACTCGCTGCCGCAGTTTGTCCGTGAACTTGAGCTGACCTTGCCGCGTACTTGAGGAACGTCTCAGCAGTGCGTCGAGCGAGCGTACATGCTTTGAGGAACGCCTCTTTTTGCTCGCCATGCTTTACTATTAATGCTGCCACCTACAAATTATCATAATCAAAATATAATTTCAGTTTATTAGCGTTTGAGTTAGAGATTAGGTGCAAAACATTATAAAAAATACCAGCCGAAACTAGTGACGGCTAAATCTTGTTGACGTCTCTTACGTGAGAATTTTTTAGTTAATTAGTTTATGAAATTAAGAAATATAATTTGGAATTAAATATCTAACAAAAGACATATTAAACAATGCGATGTTGCCTCACACGCACGCACGCATAGTATATTCACTCAATATACTGTATAATTGAAATGCCCATCAAATACAATAATAAATATCACATAAGGAATAACAGTTATTTTAATTTTAAATGCTGAATATTATGACACAATACCAACTCACATGGTAAGTTAAACATGTACATAAACGTATGCTAAAGTAATATTGAATATACCTGAGCAGCCTTATCCAAGTTCTGTGTTTGGTTATTCTGTGTATCTTCTGTATTAGGTGTGATTGTGGAAATAGCAGCGCCTGAACCACACCAGTCTTCATCACGGCGATACTCCCTCTCCAAGGAATCGAGTACAGAGCAAACTTGTTCTGCCGTTTTGTAGAAATTCAACGAAGCAGTGACTAGTTTATGACGCTCTTCCGCGCACGTTACAAGGCGCTGCCAACGCTCTGTCACCTCTTCGGATATCTCTCTAAAAAATCCAAGCAAATGTGTCACTTACAAATAGGGCACGAATAAGATAAGATATAAGTATTAAGCATAATGAATAAGAACAGCATTTCCCTAGACAACTATAGTCAGATCTTTTCAAAATATTAATTGATTTGTAGTATTTTTTTTTTCAAATAAAAAATTGTGCAACTAAAGTTATTAATACCTTATAGTATGTGGGTCGTAATGATTGGCAGCTCGCAGGGCATCAGCTCTATACTTCACTTGAACAGCACTAGCGTGAGTTTTCTCGACAGCCACTTGGAACTGGTCGTGTTCCCGCTTTAACTGTTCTGCTTCAGAAAGAGTTCCGGGAATCGAGAATGAAGCAGCCAACATCGCTTCACCATTTCGTATCCAGCTTACAACTTGTGCCGCATCCTTTTGAAATTGACCTGTAATCGTATTAAAATATTCGGCCTTAATATATGAATGATAGATAGGTGGAAACAGTTGTACTATGGAGTTAAGAATATATAATAATATAGTAGACTCGGCCAAGCGTTGCTCTGGCTAAGATTTTTGTTATATTACATAGTAGTGAACTATTCAAGGGAAACGGTAGGAGAACTTATGTGAATGGTAGATGACAGCTTATGTGAAACGTTGATAATTTTAACACAGCGCCATCTGTTAGAATTGTATCAAATAATAAACAAATATTTTGCAATCAATTAAAATTGCGACTATAATTTGAGATTTAAACTATCCTATCTCTCAAGTTGGATCGAACTGCACATGGTGTGCAAATTTGATTGATATCGGTTCGGTAGTTTAGGAGTCCATTGAGGACAAACATTGTGACACGAGATTTATATATAATAATATAGGTGTATAAAATTTACGTATTTCACTAGTTCTCGATACTCAAAAGTAATTGAGTCAAACATATATATTTGTAATACATAGTCTAAGAATTCGTGTATGCGGTGATGTTAGTTATTTCGACTATGTGTTTGCATGTTGTTCCCACGAGAATTTAAGTGCGTGCTCCTATTTCACCACGCCTCCTGCTGATAGAGGACAAGTCTTTGTTTTTAATTTATGTTATTATTACAATATGTTTATAAGAATAAAATTACCAAGTTGAACGCATTGTTCGAATCTGGCTCGTCGTTCCTCAGCCAGCTCTTCCAAGTCTAGTTGTCGATCATGCAAGAATTCCAGTAAAAGTTGTACTCTCGCCTGGGCGTCGAGTGGTGCACCCTCGGAGCTATCGGAACTGGACGCCATTACGTCTGAAGCTTCCGCAATGGCCGAAGCTAAGTCCTGACCTTGCTGCACTACCTTTAAAAGTATGGCAAACTTAATAATCAAATCAAAGTAAAAAATATATGCACTAGTAGGTAGGTTGGCTAAGGCACATATTATACATATATTAGGGAGTTAAACTCAAATGTGTTGCAAAAATATTTATTTTAAGAAACAACATTTAGAGTTTGCTATTTCAGTTGAAAATCACTTTTATCCTATTTCTCTTATAATCAATTAAAAATGTTCTCATAACAAACACTTCATATTCAAATTAAAAATGACACATACACAGACAAACAAAACTAGTGTCTTTTCCACAGACTAACAATCAAAACTAAATGAACATTTATAAAAACCAAATAGATAATTAATAATCTAATTTAAGAAATATAATTATATCCTTACATACATTTATACGTCATCGATTGTTTTTAAGAATGGATGGTAAATAGTCAAGTAATTTAAAAGTTACGTTTCCGGCAACACTCATACTCCATTGTTACCTTTGGGAATGATGTGATTGTGAATATAAAATGATTTATATGTCAGTCTGAAACACCAATCAAACCACTCCAGATATTTAACATTTAAGTTTTACCTGAAAGGTAGCATGTTGCATCCTAGCTACGCTCTCGTTGTGTGCCGCTAGTGCTTGTTCAGCCTGCTGTGGGTCGCGTGGAGGTTCACTGCGCTGCAACTCGTCTCCCCATAGTTCAAGTCGTGATGATACCTGAGACGATATTTGGTTAATATGTATGGTTTTAAATTCAGCATGCCCCTAGACCGTGACTATGCTCAACTGCAGATCATAAGGCCTCATTCGATCATCGGCTAGTCTCAATTGATATTTCCCGGTGAGGCCGAATTGCGTAACAATAAAATATGAACATAATCTTGGTTTATTCTCTAAGTTGTATATAATTACAGGAAACTTCTCTCACATGACTCTTAGTGGACACTCTTATACGCTTATGTGCCATACAATCTTGCGTTAGAGGTTGATAAAGTTTTCGGATTGAGTGTGTTACGAAAATAATCTTCCTAATTAATATCAGTATAAATATTATCTAGCGTATTTATTTATTCCGCAGATATACTTGATGTCGCATTTAGTTTCTTTAGTGAAAACTTTATCTCATCTGTATATTTTCTGGAACTTTGGAACTTCATCTAACTTTTATTCACTACGTGCAAGTTTTATAAGTTATGAATAGAAAAGCAAAGGCAAAGTTTTATCAGCTTCATGGCAAATTAGAAACGTTGCGTATGTTTTTTATACAGATGTATAATCTGACAACATACTACCTTTAGCAACTATGTGGTTGAACATTTCAACTTGTATAATTACGTAAATATGCACTCGGCTGCAATTTAGTGCTCGTACAAGAAACCTGTTCGCTAAATCCTAATTAATCCAACTACTTTTAGACAAGTCGTGTTTTTATAAGACACGATTTTCCCGTTTCCTTTGTCGAAGGTCGTGGATTCTGACCAGATTACTAATATCAACTTTTAATTTTTATATTTTTTTAATGTTAAACTACGTATATTTTCTTTACGTATAGGGAACTCAATTCACAATTATTTTATTTAAAAGTTAGTATATCACTTAAGGTTGATTTTGTTGATTTTCTGCATAGACCAAAAAAAATTATTTTTGAAAAAACTAAGACTTAAAATGTTTTCGTACTCATGTAGATATTATCTTGATCTGATTTTAAAAGGTGTTCATTGTGAGTAAATCTAGTTTTTTACTATTCCACTATATAATAGTATCAAGGCTATTAAATTTTTTAATTTTCCATTGTACCATTTATAAAAACCATTGTTCCGTAAATATGTAACGGTTTAATCTGTTTGATAGTCAACTAGTTCTAAACATTGTACAAAGAGCAAAAAAAACAAATTTTTATTGATTTTAAAGGTTTTTTACTATTATTTATGTAATAGGAGGCAAAAGGGCTTTTATGAATCGCTTCGGAAATACTTCAGTGTGGAACCTTAAATATTGGTGCTCAGTTGTGAACCTCGGACGGCGAGGTGATACGGGTGAAATTTCTGCTGCAGGTATTAATCCGAACAACTCCTCTGATCACGGGAAGTATGTTTCGAAATGTCAACGCCCAGTATTGCTAGCTGTGGCTTTAAGACACACTGTCTTCGAAGAGAGGAGTAGCGACAAAGGGTGGTGGGGGGGTCTTACTCCAACTATGCTTCGAATACATATTTTATCGTCTCCTTATAAACACAGTACACATTTAAAGACTATTAATATACGAAAGGCTTTATCCTAAAGACACATCTAGTAAAATAAATGTAAAGAAATGGTATGTCTTTATTTTCGTTAGTGTACATGACGATTGTCCCGTGATACTGGCGTTTAATTAATTGTACCATTATAATAGTTGTATAAATAAGGGAATAGTATTGTCTTTGATTAACATAACCTTTACAGATTTAAAGAAAAACGCTTTTTACCGGATTAAAGTCACGGTGACCACGCACGCTGTAAAGCACGCGAAACGTCGGATAAATTTAAAATTATGTCAAATAGTTGTAAATTTATAATAATAAACATAACTTTAATCCGGTAAAAAGCGTTTTTCTTTAAATAAGGGAATATCATGATAGATTTTATAATTTATATAAATTTGTTGTTTCAGCGAAGCACTTTTTCAAACTTCCAATTCCTTTTAATTGGATTACCTTATATAAATAACAATTCCTTATAAATTAGATATATTATTCGTAAAATAAAATTCTACTATAATCATAACGTATTAAGTGCAACGCATAACTTGTAAATTAATAATAATACATTATCCCTACACAAACGGTAAGCAAATGATCGTTTTATATTTTACACATTTGCAATATAAAAGACCTGATCCACTATACATTTATGCCGAAATACTATAAGCTCTACTTAGTAGTCAATAAAAAGCAAAATATTTCAATACAACGAAATATCGAATAAACCCTCGACAGCAGCCAACTTACCTCCAGGGCGTCCCTCTCAAAATGTCTCAATTGGAGGGTGAGTTCAAGACGCCGCTCCCGATCCGACCAAAGTTCCTCTAGAGCGCTTCGAGTACCGCGTAAACGTTCCAGAGTTGTCTCCACTGCGGACGTGCTTGCTGTATCTGAGTCTCCCGATGATCTGTAAACAGCATATTATTTATCACTAAGCTGTAGATGTTATATATTTTTTAATTTAGTCACGTACTAGGTCGCAACTGTTTCTGATATCCTAGTGCTAGTTACAGATAGTGAGGTCGCAGGTTTAATCCCCGGATGTGATTTTTCTTTACGACTTGCTCATGCGGTAAAGAAAATATCGCTCTGTTAGGATACAATCAGCGTGGGTTATCAAAATACTGATATAGTAAAGTAGTTGTATAAAGAATAATTATCAAGGATACACAAATCTGATGCCAAGAACAAGGGCTCTCATGTCACTGGCTTTTTGTCTTGGTCGTAACGCTCGCTTGACATCTCAACTTATTTCAAGATTACAAAAAAAAGATTTCTTTAAGGACAAACTGAACCATTTTTTGCTTTTGCCCGAACAGACGCGTCTTTCTCATAACCAAAAGGGTCATTATGATAAGGTTATTAAAAAAAAATCGAGCAGTTAAAACTGACTGAATCGAGTAAGTGCACTTAAAAATACAGCAGATTTGATAGCTATGAAAATATTCAAAGTTTTTGGAAATAAGGCACCGACATGTGAGAGTTGGAACAAGGTTCATTAAAATCAGAATAGTACTTTAAACAAACCTCCATCGTAAGCATCGTACGGGTGACTTGTGTCTGTGGGAACGCCGATGATATTTGAGCATTTTTTACAGGAAAATGTTCATTTCATCGCCTTCCGCGATCACTTTTTATACAAAAATCGTTAATCATGAACAGTCGCTACGAATACTAATAAGCGAAGAACAGTTATATCACGAGCACGTTGTTAACTATATTAACCATTACATACGCATGGTGATTAAAACTATAACCGACGGTGACCTACAATCACTGGCTACTGTTATGTTCCAGTTGGTTAGCGAATCTTTTACAGCAGTGGACAACAGTGTTTACATATCTGCTATTAAACACATTTGTTTTCATATTTGATTTTGTTGAAAAATACCTGACGCAATACGATAATAAAAGAATTTTAAATTCAATACGCATTGTCTTAATACCATCTAAATATTATATTGAAAATTGATACTTGATATCGCAAGGCCTACATATTGCGTACTTTTTAATAAGTACAGTTATTTCAATCTTTTTCGTCAATTCGCAAGCCTAAGTAATATCCGTAGTTGTACGCGTTGCATTGTAATTTTAAATAGACTTTATTTTCACGCTTTATCTAGGATTAAGTTGTAATCGGTATACGTTTTCTTTGCGTAACCCAACAGTAAAATTTACTTTACGGCAAGTTTTAATAAGATATTCCTAGCATTGTCATGCAGTTCATATACAATACAAGAAGCTTAAATACTTATAAAGTTGGAAGACGAAAGCTTTGTGAAAGTACTCCTTGATTTCCCTGAGTCGTGATGGTGCGATACTACAGACGTTTAATTTTAAGATGAATATTCCGTGAGGACGTTTTCTACTGTCGCCAGAGCGCGGCATTCCTCACGCGTCGGCGCCCAATCGGAACCAAAGATTCTAAGTCTGAGAATGGCATTGTTTTCGCAAATACAGGGAACAATATTTATATTCATAGACTGTTTTGTCGGCAAATATAAAGTAAAACAAAGGTCAACTTGAAGATTACATCTGCTCACAACATTGAGCTTACGTATGTTAATATATGTTTTAAGCTTTACATGTTAGGGTAAACAGTTTTGTATTTTTGATTACACAAGCCACATTCAACTTAAGTTATTAAAAGTCAGTCAAGACCTTACCCACACGATAAGCGATAAATAAAGTCGTTTAAGCCACATCAACGACAGCACTGCCTTTTAAAGTCGAGGGAACATTCAAAGTATATATTAACAGTGCGTTAAACTTTATGACTATTAAACTCGTAAATATTCTGTTCCGAAGTCCTCGAGGATACAACAATTAAGGCTCATTCATAGTTTATGGTACGTTAAAATTTACTAGTCAACGTTTTATATCTTTTATCTATTTACGGATCCTTAACCTCCAAAAGACTATGTTTAAAATCTTACACAATTATTCTATATCTTTACAGAAATTCTTACTAAATAATAATACTAACACCTGGACGACTTCTACAATAAATATAAATTGGGTACTCCCCTGAAGTTGGAGTAAAATCAATTTGATTTAACAAGATTAAAATGCACATAGACAAAGACACAAGATGGTAGGTAGGGACACAGAGCAGCTCGTCGAGAAAGTAACCATTTACTACTCTAGACAAACGATAATGAATAAGTACATTTAAAATCGTTATTATCATTATTCTAATGCTAAAGTAATTCAATACGCAAAGCAAATTTGTTAATATTAAACGTTAAATTAATTAAATTATTTATTTACAGCATAGCCAAAGAATAATTATAATGAATGAAACAATAACATTTTTTTTTAAATATAGTATTTAGACGTGGTACGTTTGAATCAATATTTTTTAAAGATTACAGAGTAATTTACAAACTATTGAATTATTTAAGGTAAGAATCGAAACGAGACTTATCGCACAGACTCTCGTCTCTCGTACGTCAAAATTGTATTGGATTTGATACAGAAGACATGTTCGCAGTAAGTCACCTAGCGGGACTTAGCGCTCTTTATGTTATCCTTAATTCTAGTGTATAGAGAGTTCAGTAGTCTGATGCGCATCTTAAGCATTAACTCCCTTATAATAATTAAACATTAAATATAAATAAAAATTTATAAAGGCTTAGAGAAGATGTGTGAATAAGATCTCAAATTTCAGACTAAACCTATGTATAAAATAAAATAACAGAAACTTTCGACTTTTGAATTTCAAAGGGAATATTTTTCTCAATGTATGACAACTTTTTTCAAAGAAACATTGTTCCCACATCGGATGCACCGAACCGGCGTCACCTTTGTATTTGTTCAATGGATACAACTTTTTCTATTATAACAAAACGTCAATACACTAAAAGTCCCTATAAGATTATACCAGTATATGTATCTATGTGATGTACATCCAAGCCTTTCAATCTAAAAACTATATGTAAAATGGTGACATCGAAGTAACTCAACCAATCTATATGTTTGTATAACAATATTTATTATTTCAATAAAATTAACATTATCTAAAACACGTTTTATTACACGCGTAGAAACTTCAAGGCGTGTACACGTAGATCATCCGCAGACTTTCTATAGACCACAACACAAATCGCGTGACTTGCCACCAGACACTTGACAGTGGCGTATGGAATCCCACAAGAAAGCTTAATGCTAACCAAAGACGTAAGCAATCGTTGAGTAATATGGTTAGACTGATCTCAAAATATAAAAAAAAACATTTCCTACAAATACAACGGTTATTAGAAACCGATATTATTATTAACATGATAAATACTAGGAACACGTAAGTCTGTGACACGCTACATTGTTCAAATACTATTGGTTTTCTTTTTGATTTCACCGTATTATTACCGTAATGTGCTGGATGTGAAAATTTTTACATGAGAGATAAATTTAGGAGTGTAATATCGAAGATGAAGTAAATGTTCTATATCTGAATGAGGTAAACGACGTTATTAAAAGTCGACGTGAGCGAATATGCTTTAGATGTTAAATTATGCAGGGTTGGCGGAAACCTAAGTACTCTCCACTCACGAAGCTGAGTACAGCTAGTACAAGTACTGAACAATATAATTAGCAATTCGTAAAACCGTAATGCTATAAAATGTAAAACTACTCTTTAATATTCAAGCCACGAGCTAGTCATCATTGGAACTTAATATAACGAATTTAGCAATATGTGCAATGTTATTCACGGTAATTGAAAATTTTAGCTTTTGTAATTATTAAGTCATAAGACAATACCGTGAAATGACGTAAAGAAGAAAAACATTATGTAATTCGCTTAAGTTTAGGACAACGCAATTATTATAAAACCGAAACGAAGTAGCCGTGAGAGAGTTCAGATTACGCGAGTTTCCGATGATTGGTAGAGTTTTAGACGTCACACACTGCTGATTAATGAGATAACTTGACACACCTATATAGGCAGTCAAGGATTTTTGCCTAAATTTTAGAAAAATTATGACACAATGCTTGAAATTTAATACCCCTATGAAATAAAACAAATTAATTTTCGATTAAAACAGAGTTGTATATAAGACTATAATGAATTTAAAACAATGAAAATCTCTTGAAATGGCAATTATAAATGTGAACAATTGTAACCAGGGGGCGCGAGGGTCCCACGGATCGGTGGGAGGGGGAGGTAAAACGTTCCGTCAAATCCTGTTCTTAACCGTAGGAGCGAGCCGGAAAGAACGATTGTGAGACAATTTAAATCACTCGCAACCCATTAACCATTGTTGTCGACTCCCCAACAACTGAGACTATTCCCGACACGACCGCTATTGTATATTAATAAATCGATCTTATAGGATATCTTAATACCCGACATATAATTAAAGAAAAATATTAAAACATCCTTATTCTGTGATTTAAAACGCCCACATGTCACCAGCGAGCCTAACAATGGACTAATTACATCATAGCATTGTTATTTGCAATATTTTAATCAATCACCTCTAAAAGCATGTTCAATGTAGGGAATATCTGACAGCTGAATAGAATGATGTAAAAGGAAAAAACAATAAGAGGTAGGTTCCTATAATCACAATAACCGCCTCCCGGGGGAGAGTAATGTAGCAGAAACAGACTTTCGCATTGCAAATATTGACCAAGACTAGACAGGAGGGTTTCAATACAGATATCAAACCGTCAATAGAGAGATGAAAAATTCGAAAACATCTGTGCTAGAAATCTTTAACAAAAGCTTATTTTTCTAAAAGCGAGCGAAACCATTTTCCATTTACGGTATATAGAACATGGGAATATATTTAACAATATTGAAACTATATATATTTTGGAATTGGAGCTATTAATGCCTCACTGAGTCAAAAGGAGTTCCCAGTTTAGTGTTAAAATAAAGATAAAACTACTAAATATATTAATTAGTAAAATACAAAATAAGGTTTAGGTTATATTTTTTTATGTAAATTACGCTAAGGTTATTTTATGTGTCTATTAATTTGGTCCATTGAATAAGTAAGTTTATAATGATAGAAAACAAGGGAATTGAAAAAAAGGCCGGCAACGGACTTGCTAGCCTTCTCGCAATGTGAGAGTGAGTTACAAAAAAAAACATATTAGTTAATAACATTAGAATAATATTTATGTAGGTTTATATAATTTTTAAATATTTTTATTAAATTAAGTCCGCCGGTTAGAATATTAATCTAACTTCAAATTACTGTATAAATATCGGAAATTCTGTACTATTACGATATTACGAATAAATTTGTTATTACCTGAAAAAAACATTGACTAAAATCTAAACTAAAAAACTAACAAATTGTGTCAAAAAGGAAAAGCAAAAAAAACTATTTCAATTATCACACATCTGTAAATTGTGGGCAGAAGTATCGTTTTATGAACCCTCGTTATGTGTTCAAGTTTTGGGGTGCCGCGGCCGGTCGGAAATTCAATCATACCTACAAAAAGTACTATATCATTGAGGGGCGTAATCCCTACCGAACGTCGAACTTTCCCTGCTCGATATATATTTTTGATTACACTACATAAAACTATGTTTTCACTATTTACCAATCTTTTCATCAATAAAACCAAATATAAA